CTTTGGTGCAGAATTCTCTCTCGCCTAAGTAATCTTTCAGCCATGCGAGAAGTGCTCCAGAAACTCCCGCCTTGCTTATTTTGTGAAGGAGCAGACCATGGTGAACTGTGTCGAATGCTTTCGCAAAGTCGAGAAAGATCACGTGGGCTGGTACCTTTTTGTCCCAGGATAGTGTCCAATCGTTCCAGGCTAGTAGAAGATTCGTCACGCAGGATCTTCCCCTCCTGAAACCGTGCTGTGCTTCGTGAAGAAGGTTAGTCCCATCGAAGTATTTTCTCATGTGGTCGTCAATGAGACTTTCCAATATCTTCGATACCACTGGAAGTAGAGCAACTGGTCTGTAACTGGTCACATTCTGCCGGTCACCACCCTTGAAGATAGGGGATAGGATTGCACGTTTCCATTCACATGGAAGTTTCCCTACATCAAGGGAGTGTTGGAACAGATCACTTAGGGGTTGGCAGAGACTTTCTGAACACTGCTTCAGGACAGATGGTCTGATGCCATCACAACCTGGAGACTTTCCCGAAGCCAACCTTCCCAATTTTGCAAGTACCATAGCCGGGGTAATTTGAAATGTACCCAGCAGGTTTTCGCGTGTTGGTTTTGCGATGTAATCTGGATGTTCTGTGGGGTAATATCCTCGTTACTATTTAGTTGCCTGTGAAAGGCTAGGCTGAATGTCTCTGCCATTTCAAGACTAGTAAGAGATTTCCCATCAGAACCCACTAGATTGCATGCTCCCTGGTTGGTCGGTTTTCTTTCGGCCATAAACCTGTATAGGCTTTTGGGGTTCACGAGAAGCTTATTGGCGAGGTCTCCCTGAAATGTCCTTCTATCGCTCCGGACTCGTATGTTACATCGATTCCTGAGTTCAAGGTACACTTCATATTCGGGTTGACTCTTCGATCGTCGCCACGCGAACCAGGCTTTTCGCTTTGCCTGCAGAAGGCGTTGTGTCCCCCTTTTTAGCCATGATCGTTGCTTCCTAGCTTTTGGTGTGACTAAAGGAACAGTGTCTGAGACCGCCTGGTGAATGATCTCCTTTACCACTCTCCAGTGTTCTTCTACTGTTAGCTCTGTCCATTTTTTAGGCCAATTTGCTTCAGACAGAAGTCTTCGCATTTTGGTGTAGTTGGCTTTGTTATAACACAGATAGGGCTGTGTATTGTCCCACTGTAAGCGCTCGCGGAGGACTATGTCGAATACTATGACCGCGTGGTCACTACTACCTATGGGAGTCGTGATCTGAACGTTTTCCACTAGTAGCTGGTCACTAGTGAGCACGTAATCCAGTCTAGAAGACTTCCCATCAGGGCCCCATCTAGTATCCATCTTGACATTTTCAGTGAATCCAGCCTTCCTGATGGTATGCAGCAGATTTCGATCAAATCTATCATGGGCTTTTCCCGACACCAAGTTAAGAGATGGGGCATTGAAGTCACCAGCTATGACAATTTGATCATAACCCATGTCTTGAGTTGCTGAGATTGTATTTAGCAGTACCTGGTTGTGGTCTGCTCCACATGAAGGTGATCGATAAATGCTGCCCACTAGATATTTGCAGTACCCAACGGTGAAGTGGCACCATATGGAGTCAGGGAGCTCTGTGAGGGGAGGGTCCATCGCGTGAACACATCTGAGCTGTTTGTCGACGTATATGGCGACTCCACCTCCTTCTTTCAGGTCCCTATCTCGCCTGACTAGGACCATATCATTTATACTGACTTCGCTGTCTGCCACCGTAGGGGTTAGCCAGGTTTCCGTCAGTATTATGATTTTGGAGTTTAGTTGTGATTGTAGGTGTCTAAGTTCAGCTATTTTGCCTCTTAGCCCTCTCACATTACTATACAGGCAACTGGTAGTCAGTCTCACCACTTCCCCGTATTGGGGGGTAGTTGACTTGATATTGGCTATCGGTTGAGGAGTTATCCTACGAACTAGTTGGCCGATTCCCCAGGAACCGGCCTGTTGGCGTTTTTTTCTTCTAGTTCAGTTGGAGCACTCGGATGACACTGGCTATCATCGTCCGTGCTGCACCGCTGTAGTGTGACTAGGGGTTGAGGATTTTTTTTACTACGCTTTGTTCTCTCCTTTGAGTGCGAGGCCGGCTCTCGCAGCAGCGAATGTGTTTGCTGACCTTGTCCTTGGTCTCGTACCATCTATGGAGAGCGGTAGTCAACTGGTCTTGGGAGCTGAACTTGACAGCTAACAGACGTGGCGAGTTAATTGACATAAGATGAGTGGGTCGAGGCAGTCTATAAATAGAGACAGCCCCTGAACTTCCCAGGGCCATCTGGGATGCTAACCATCTCCATTGTTGTACATCATGACAATGCTTTTCGCAGGCGTTCCCAGTTACCAGTTCGGGAATGCCATGCACAACCATGGAGGCAGAAGGAATGAGCTCTGGCGACTCCCTCGCCATTTGTCTTTCCTTCCACGGCCTGTCTGGCTTAACACGTATGTTACAGGCCCTCCCTATAGAAAGGACTTGAGAAGCCAGTAACACTTTTTCAACATCCTCGGTAGAGCCCAATGTTACCCTCAGTGGGGATGGTTTGCCTTCAGGTGCAGCAGTGCCCCTATACAATCTGCATAGATTTACTGGTTGGATGTCCAAACCCAGTGGGCTACACAAGATGGACCAATAGCAACCAATAGCAACACATCAACAAGCGTCATTGAGGGGATATGCAGTAAAGTCGCTCAATTAGATCTACCACGTGGGTCTCGCCATTGAGGGGAGTGCGGACGATGATGGGGGGGGAATTACGAGTTATGTTTGACCTAAGCATCTGCTGGATGGAGTTGCATAACTTTATCGCTGTAGTATCCTTACTCTAAGTCTGTTTGGCAGTTGAGCACATTTTGGTAACCGTCCGTTTAGTTATTTCTGGAGTTTTATCTGCGGGAACAGCTAATTCACCTATAACAACGCCCTGAAGTGTCAGAAGTACAGCCTGTACTGACTGTGGCAGTTTGGACAAGATTAGGTCTCTGAAATGTCCTTTATTAAACTGATGTCGGCCAATAACTACCCTCATTCTTGTAAGCATGCTGTCAATGGAGTTGAAGATTGAACGATCAATTCATGGTTGTTTGCTTAAAATCAACTTCCCCAATTTTCGCGGAGGCACCAATACGACAGTCATCGTCTCATCGGTCGCTGTTCAGAAAGAAGAGTGAAACATCGTCAGAAGTAATACAATGATTTATTATTGTAATATTTGTTTTCAGACCTTAGTTCACCTATTCTTTTTATATGTTGGTGTAACAATAAACAAATCTCAAGCGGCAGATCGGTGTTTTGGTTTTTTCGTCCGTTATTACTAAGCGTTTCTGAAATCTTCAAGGAACAGCGTGGGCCCGAGCGTAGCGAGAGCTGGGCATTAACGGTTTATGAGACGTGATTGACACATCCTGACGGCTGACTGATCACCTAACTTGAGTTTGCGATATAATTTGTCCAGACGCTGTCGATCCGTGAGAACGCTTCTGTTGAGTAGGATTCCTTTATGCGACTCGTACGAGTCACTTACTCCTGGACTCGACATCTGCACAGTTACGCACTTGATGAATTTCCGCGGCGGGGCATGAACAACTACAAAGAACTGTGAACGTTGATCAGTTATCTCATGCTCACTAAAATCAGACTCAGCTATCCGAAACCATGATTCAGCATAATCTGGCCAGCATGGTACGAGCCGAATGGTTTTGGCGGTTGAGCGAATACGAATGACCTTAGGACTATGATCAATCATGACGAAATATATATAGTTTGAAAATGGTACAAGAACAAATACAGAATGGAACGAACTCATCAGATTTGTCTGTGCATTTAACGAAGATTGAGTTCGCGGTCGGGCTAACCAGTTTAGAGGCTAACGGTATTGACGTTCGCAGATTGTACGGAGTGTGCTGATGCAAGATCTGATACCAACAACTTCTATAGTATTCGTTCCGCGTAGACCAAAGGCAAAGCAAAAGACCACAACTGATCGCTCAAATTACGAGATATATTTCGGGACCAAATCGTAGACCTAGATGGTTGCTTAACTGGCTAGTGATCGTGCACGAGCGTGACACGACGGGGTACCGAATGGCGTGGATGCTTGACCAGAAGCCTTCAGCTAAACAAGTCGACTTAAACAGTGTGGGTCAGCATCCAATGTTCATTGATGATTGCTGTGGTCAATAATTTTGAGGAATTATCTTCCTCTACAATTGTGTTGCTTACCGATACAAATGATAACAAAGCCGTATGCAATAACCTTGGACCGACAGACTTGGATGGCTTTCAAGGGAGGTGATTAAAAACTGCCTCGCAGCAGTATTTCGACAGGCTGCCCCCAAATTATCGGATCGCTGATCTACTAGCTGGCTACAATCTTTACCCATCAATCAGGCCATCACTTCATTTTAGTTATTGCTGGTTATTCCCAGGCATAATGCAAGTGACAAGATGTGTCAATACCCATTCCACCGAATTACACGATAACATTCCTAATGTGGTTTAACAAAGTGCCCCCTTCTGATGTAGTACCATTATGATTGCGTGACTTACATTCGGCCAGAAAACTAGTGTGACTCTAAAGGGGTTGTCACGTATCATTCATCCATATGCCAAACTTTCATTATCATTGCAGAAACGATGACCAAGTTAGCTGCTGAGTTACACACTCAGCTGGTGGAAATTCAGACTATCAATTCGCAATCTGCGAGTTCCGATCGCCTTCAGCCTTCATACAGCACAGTTGTAACCACATGACAACTTACCGGAAACATTCAGGAAGGCGAAAATAAGCCATTTGTAAACTGTGTGTATCCTTATATTGACAAAGTTAACCTGGAATTGTACACGGAGAATTTCAAATTCTATCAGCTGAATAAGGCATTTGTGGCCTGTAAGTAATGTCTTATGTATATTCAGCCTGTTGATTTATCATTTTTGATCATCAATGTAAACCTAACATTCTGACTTAGGCGGGTAAAATTTCGTATGCGCTACAGATAGGCGTGAATTATATATCATTTGACTTTATGTAAAAACGCCGGATTTTATCTTCTCTAAAAATTGTAACAACTTCGACGTGCTTATCTGTTTAAGCAAAATTTTACCGAGTAAAAATTTCTTGCTGCAGATTTCGACCCACAAAATGTAGGACTTTTCGTTACTTTTGGGGCGTTCTAGCGTAATCGAACGTTTTTCCTCAAAATTTCCACGTTGCCTTGCACCAAAGTGACCACCGGTAGCTTTTTTAAGGACTTAAAGTTTTGCTAAGATGGGTGCAACGTAATTTCAACTAAAGCACTTGGTGATATTATAAATGGTCTTCATGGGATATTGGCGTATTAAACCCCAGTTGTGAAAATATGAAACCATATTTTCGTGCCTAAAAGAAATTCATGAAATTGAAAAGTGTTTGACATCAGGAGTACAAGATGGGATTATGCATGATAGATGAGGAAACAACGGAGCACGTTAATGGAAGAGTTCTAGTGAAATCAAAAGTTTCCTACACTTTCCCTTAGGTTTCCCTCTCTCAGAAGACCATACCTTCCTCGCATTCGTTATTTCCATAGACATATCCTGATAATTGAGTACATTTCGTTAAGCTACTGTTTCTACTTCGCAGTGTAAATTGAAATTATGTAAATTTCTGGCATCTGTGAACTATTATTAAGTATCAGAATCTTTTCCCTCTTCTCATTTTATTGCATTGACAAGACAAACGTGCACTTAACCTCCAGTTTACAGTTATGCTGAACCATTTACTGAAGTTTCTGCATTCATTCATTACACCAGCTAAGAGTTTGAAGGAACTTTCAGGAAGCAAGAGTTTTATTTAACTATAGTTTATGGAAATCTATTTAACGTAGTAAAATATATATTGGTAGGATGGACTATAAAAAGTAAAATTTCAGGCTTTTACATAGCATAAGTAAACAAAACTAAGTTCCTTCACTAACGCATTATTCATCAGAGTTGTCACTGTCTAACAGATTGAGATTTATTGGTTGAGGATAGAAGGCTTGAAGCCTATGTTAATCCTTTTCTAGTACATTTCTGGGGTTGTCCAAACCCTTATTAAACAAATCAGTTGAGGTTACAGACACCACTTCTTCTAGGAGTCGGTTGCAAGAGTTTATGACTTGGTGTGAGGACCAGTACTCAACAGGAATATGATTTCTTCTTGGCTTTTGAACTCTCCTGCTATGTCCTCTAAGGTGTTCCGACCTGGTGGGAAGGAAAAGAGAGAATAGGTCAGGTCCGTAGTCATTATTTAAAATTTTAAACATTGTGATTAAATCTCCTCTCTGCCTACGGTATGACAGTGAGAAGAGATTTAAGCTGTCTAGTCTTTCCTCGTATGATAAGTTAGATATGCCGTGAACCATACGTGTTGCCTTCCTTTGAACACTTTCTAGAATGTGTGAGTCCCCTTTTTAGACACGGACTGACGGCCTGGATGCAGTTTTCCAGTCTTGACCTAACCAGAGATGTGTATAAGGAGGTGAACATATCTCTGGTAATTCTAGTAAAGACTCTGCGAATCGCCCATAAGGACCTGAAACTACGTGCAGCCACCACGCGACAGTGTGCTGTAGTTTTTAAGTCGTTGCTAACTATGACACCTAAGCCCAAGTGAGTCTGAACTGATGGAAGTGTTATTCCCTCTAGTTCGTAGGAGCTTGTGCTTGCTTGTCCAATGCTCATGGTTGCACATTTTGCCACATTGATCGGGAGCATCCATTCAACAGACCACTCCGACAATTTGTTGAGGTCCTCTTGCAACGTGAACGTATCACTGTTGCCCTTCAGCTCTCTCCAAACTTTTAAGTCATTGCTAATATTACCATACAAGTCCACATTTTGGAACAGACTTCATTGACTAGAAGAATGTATGAGTAGTACTTCATTTTATTTTACTACGAGTAGTTCTCAGACGATAACTATTTAGAAGGCAAGTGGTATCGTTAACTCGGCAACTGTGCTTCGTGGAATCCATGAGAAAATGTAAAATGAGTGCCAACATGTGCCGCTATACACTAGTGCGTTCAACTAATTAAACTTATTATAGCTGTATCTCGTGTGCAGTCCATCACTGTATCATGGAAGTATTCTTTAGAAGCTATAATCGATTCCGAACCGCACCTTTCGGCGAATACATTTGCGAATGATAATAGGTAAAAACTTTACTCATACTAAAGTGCATCAAATGTGAAAATCTCAGTGAAAGGACAGATAGTGTTTGGCAGTCCCATTGATATGCCATAAAGCGTATGCCTCACTGCCGGATTCTGTTCCAAAACTAAATTAAGCATACCTTGGGGGCGTTATCATCCTCCCAATCATTGTGGTTAGTAATGGATTTCAACTTAAAATTAAGTGTTGGAACTTTGTGTTTCTTGATGACATTTGGTAAACGTCAATTTTGATATCTTCCTTAAAGAAAGGCTCCAATGGTCATTATTTGATGTCAAACTATCTGATTCACGCATCTTCAGTACTTTCATATAGGTCACCGTTTAAGTGGTCAAATTCAAATGCTTCTCTAGTAAGCATTTAAATCCTTGACCTTCGAATATCCATCTTGACATGAAGAGCTTATGTATTCATTTTTGACTGTTAAGAGTGACTATGGGGCATACTGGAGGATCCTCAATGATAATTAATACTAGCCTGGCTGTTGCTAGAATGGCACTGTATAGAAGTGATGTTCAAACAGAAGGACCAATAACTTCGCGAATAAGCCTCCACTGTATTCACTATAGTGAAACGGTTTGAAAGCTGCTAAATAACTTTTTTCATACTTTTCTATAGCAGTCAGTTCTATTACATTTCCTAAATAATTTTCCAGTGTAACAAATGTTATTTATATTGATTAACCGTATCGCTCTATTATTTTTTTTCAACATTAGAAACTTAAACATTTGATCTGTTTTCATGGACTCAAAACGTCCTAAACTATGCACATCAGAAGTTGATAATTTGAAGTCTGAAATAGATGTGCTTAAACCCGAAGAAGTTGGAATTACGGCTTATGTACGACCATCAGTCAAAGGTTTCGAAGCAGTATTGAAAAACAGGTACACTTCTTTCTTTCCGTTTGTATATTTCTATAGATGGGAAGATTTCATCGTTCGGGAATTTATGGGTTGCACATATGCCAGATTGACAAATTTAGAGCCTATTCCAGATCCTGTTCCAGAGGTATATTCTGAGAGCTTAAATTTATTTCCTAGGCTATTGATTTTAATATGGAGGAAAAACTGGGCGATCACTTATCTGAACTTCAAAGTTTAGATCATGGTGATATTGAAATATTAAAAATCAAAGTACGCCAGTCATAATACCTAATGGTTTATAAGCCAGGCCCCTGATAATAAAACGGATAGGACGCAAATTCATGAAGCGGTACGTAAATTATTCCCATCCTTGGAAAGCACCACAGTAAAAGAAGATGATCAAAATGTGATTGTTGTATTTAGGAAAAATCATCCGGAAGGTCAGTATCTAAGGCAATAACTGTTATCACCATTATATTTAGCTAAAAATTCGCGAAGATCCAGAGGAAACGCCAAAGGCATGAGTAAAAGCGCGCCGTATTGTCGCTTTGTACTGTACAAAGAGGGTAAAGACACTCTTAGTGCTATTCAACTGCTGAGTCGTTTCCTTCAGTATGTTTACTCTAGTTACTCCTTTTTGATTTTGAAGTGTTGGGCCTAGTATGTTTACGTATGCTGGTACCAAAGATCGTCGAGCGATCACTACACAATTTGTTACAGTAAAGGGGTATGGACTTGTTTTTCATTAACCAGTTTTGTATGTAGCATCAATTCAAAAACTCTGTCTTCACTTAACAGTCGACTATACGGGTTACGTGTAGGGAATTTTTCATATGTTTCGTCGCCTCTTTTCTTGGGAGATTTGGATGGAAATCATTTTGTGATTGTGTTGAGGTTAGTTTATCAACTTTGTAATGAATTACCATTTATAGATCAGTAAATGCAATAAAAACAGTTGTTCAAGACGCAGTTGAAGCGTGGAAATGTACTGGTTTCTTGAACTACTATGGTCTACAGAGGTTTGGGCATTCTTCACAGTCAAGAAGTTTTGAAATTGGAAAGTATGTCATGTTTATTTACTCTTTAGGACATGATATCAATATATATTCTACCAAACATCTGACTGAATTGGGTACTTCCTGTGTTTTGCTTCAAAAGACCAAAACTCCAATCTGATATTATTTTCTTGTTTTACTTTCTCTAAGTGATTGAACTTGACTAAATCGACCCTTAGCATAAAGATAGGAAGTGAAGGGGTAGATTGTGTTTACCACTTCACGTATTTAGGAAGTTGCGCTAGTCACAGCCAGTTGATGGTTGGCGAAATCTCAGCACGGATACAGAAGGCTCGTTTGACATACGCCAACTTATGCCATCTCTGGCCTAGACGTGATATCCTACTATCGACCAAAGGACGTGTGTACTGCTCAGGAGTTCGCGCCGTCCTCCTTTATGACTGACTATTAGACATGGCCACTCAAAATTGAAGACATGAAAAGGTCAGCTGGCTGTCTTTGGTAATAGGCGTCTGCGTTCTATCTCCCGTGTTAGGGGGCATAACAGAGTGAGCAATATTGAGGTTAGACGTTGAGTACTAGGTAGGGAGGGTAAGTCAACAGATGAAGTTGTGAAGCGTAAGTTGAGATGGTTATGACATGTGTTACGCATTCACGCCTAGCCATCGCCTTCCTCGACAACGAGCAATCTTAGCTGGCTGACACAATGGTTGAGGTTGGAAAAGAGCTAGTGGTGTGGTCAAACCAACAGATGGCTTCATCAATCAGTGAAATCCATGACAGTTAGTTTGAGTCAGCCACGTAGGCCGGGGGTGGGGAGGTGTAGACTTCTGTCTGGTTGGGGTCATTGGGATGGTGATAACCAATGATGACTGGAGACAACTGGTGATATGGCTGTCTGAAAATCGTTGTCAATAGCTGGTGCAGATGTATTCACTCTTTGTGATTTGTAATATCTAATAAAGTTCTGTTGTTCTTCCATACTAGTATTCTTTTTCCGTCACTCACATTTTTGTTTTTATCCGTCTTTTAAACCTCCCTTTACTGTCTTCTCTTGCTCTGTGTGCTACAAGGTGGGTGTGGTAAGTTGAACTGCAGCACATCTATGCGAATTTCGACTTTGAAACTAGTCAGTTAGTCACATGATTAGAATTGTGTCAGACCTTGCTGACACTTGTGAAAACGACTTAGGTTTCACATGCTTATATTTCTCAAGCCATGCAGTTTCGTAGATCGAACAGGTGGGTCAACCTAGTACATAGGTTCAACTGAGATCCAGCTGTACAGTGTGTTTCTCCTTCAACGAAAACTGCCCAAAGAATTTCCTAGCACAGACCTCCCATGTTAGCTAAATTTGGTTATGGGAGTAGCAGTACTTGGGTCGTGTTTGTGTGTTTCACCGGTACAACATACATTCAAAGCTAGGTGTGTCACAATTTAGGCTAGTGATACCTGTTCTTGAGTTTGACATAGAGTTTGAACGTTAAAAGTTCCAATGTGAAGTGAGGAGAGTACTTTTAAGAGACGAAGAACAACGTTTCTCTGTCATACTTCTGTAGCATAGTACACTTAGTCAAAAGAAATTAAACTGTGAAATTGTATTAGCATTGGGAGACAGGGGTGTTGGTAGTTGAGACTGCACAGTTGCCCATATGGAAAAAGCTCTCTTCACGTATCTGAAAGTAAAAAAGAATCAGTTTTTTGTTATCTTAGAGGCCAACCTGTTCGGTGGTGAAATTTGTGGAGTTCTAGCTCTATGGAAAACTTGTCAGCTACAAATCACCGTAGGAAAAGTCCAAAGTGTACTATTTCGGGAAAAAAACAGAAGGCAGTAGAGTCGGTTTTAAGATCTCTTGAGGAAAATATTTCACAGGCTCCATCAGCAGTACAACTTCGCCGTCAGACACTCATCATAGTGTGAACAACTTACAGTATGATGGTGTCTGCTCTTGGTGAAGTTGTTGTCTGATCCACGTATTCGATGTGATAGAACCATCAAAGACATCATTCAGATTTGCCTGATCAGGTATATCACTGCGAAATGCAATCTTAACCATAGTGTCAAGGTAGTTATTGGTCATAGTAGATTAATCATTGTAATTCAGCCAATCATTTTGTACTAACTATATCATTGTTTCTAATTGTATTCAGATATCTCATTCGTTCTGACTGGGGGAATGCCATTGATCTAATCTTAAAACCAACTTCTGCAGGTAATATCCATACTTATTTAGATAACTTCATAGATTTGCCCTTCCTTCGAGAAATTAAGGAAAAATACTTAAAAACTGGTGATGCTGATGGGTGTGCTGAAGAGTGTCCAGTGAGCATAGAAAAATCTTTGTTATTCGGTATTGCAAAGTATGGAAAAACTCTCAATGCTTTACAGATGGTAAGTCTATTAACTCTGTGATTGGAGCGTACACATACACAGACAAAATTGTTTTGTTCTAATCCGTTTTTGTTATTGCATTTTGAGTGGCGATGACAAGCTAACCATATATGCTCAGATTATAGATTTTGGCATAACTATGTTCTATCTTTTACTTCACATAATCTCATTAGAGTAGATGTTATTAAAATGAAGCTGCACTATCTATCTTTTAACGTTTCCAAAGTTATAAATGTTTTCATTTGAATAATAGCGAAATTTTGCAGAAATTTTTTATTGAGGTATTGGTTCTCTAATCAATGTCAGCTCATGATGAAATCCTGTAACCAATCAATGAAATCCCTACAAACAATTACTTGAATATCAATGAGATGCTCACTGGCGACTGAACCTATTCAAGTAGGTATTTACCTGGGGTTCTAGTGGGAAGTCGTGACCAGTAGGGTGCAACAGGTCGGGTGTGAGGACAACATTGGCTAGCGGTTGCGCTATGTCGTGAATTAGCAGAAGTGAGAATTCATGATCTGGCCATTGGATCGGGTCCCAGTGGCTTAATGGTCTACGAGCTCACCTTGTAACCAGAAGGTCGTGGGTTCGAACCCTGGCGGTGGGTGCTTACTGCTGAAGAATCCCAAACTAGGATGAAACGGCTGTTCAGTAATTCCTGCAGGTTTTCCAGTGGTTTTCTAACCAATGTAAGCTCATGATGAGATCATGTAAGAAATTTTTTAGTTGGTCAATTGAAGCTAGAATAAAACCTTGATACCATTGCGAATTGATGGATACATAAACTTCTAAGAAGTGGTTTGTCAACTGGGCATGTTTCGTTTACTTAATTCAATGTATTAGATAGGTTTATTTAATATAGTATACAGCGGAACAATATTATTAACTAAATACAATGTGAAATTATGTTCAGCACAATACTCAGGTCTCACTCTTATATTAACATACTAGATGGTCGCAAAAATATGACTCAAGTCGACACTCAGTATTTCTCTCCATTACTGAATGTTTGTTTTGTAATTCTTTTAGTTCACCAACTGGAGGTCAGTGCTTTAAATCAAGAAACCAGTTTTATTGCTTCCTATAAAGTTATGACCTACGGATTTGAATTTCAGCTAATATGTCCCGGATTCAAATTCCGCTCCACCCACTGTAGCTTAGGCAACTGGGTAGTATCATCAGCCTTGTCACAATAAATGTGGCTCATAGTGTGGCATATTTCATTTCGCCTGAAAATCGATAACTAGAGGAAAAAATTATAATGCAGAATTCCAGAGAAGTTTGATTTAAGAGTAGGACGTGGTTTTTAGTAGTTTTTTTTTAACCGAATTGAATTAACAATGTAGGACTCTGTGCAAAGTGCATTGGTTACAGTTGCCGCACTTCGGAAAAACTAACTGACTGACTGATTGAATTCCAACAGAGAACTTCTCACAGAAGTGCAGCACTTCACGCTGCCACATTCCATGCAGCACACAAAGATAGAGAAAGGAAAGAAAAACCAGATTCAGATTAGCGATACTGAGCAGAAATGTGCTGAAGAAAAAATAGTAACAGGGAAATATGAAGATATAAATGGATCTGGGAGATTGAATAGAGTGAATACATCAGCAACGTTGACAATTCTTTCGAGCCATATCAACAACAGTCTCCAGCCATCTGTTTTCAATACCCTGAGGTCCCCAACCAGACAGTCTACACCTCCCCATGTGGCTGGTTCAGTTAAACTATCAATGACCTTATAGATTGATGCTAGGATGTAAATTGACTAATTCAACCTAGTCCGTTTTTCGACCAAGAAGGCAGTGGCTTGGCATGCTCAACACGTGTCCTAGCTATCTCAATCGATAAACCTCGCAACCTCATCGATTGACTTCCCTTCCTCACTTAGTACTCTACTGTTAACCTCAATACTAACATATTATACCATTTAACACAGAAGAACATAAAATTATGAGATGTAACGAAGCTACAATCGACAAGAATATGCGAAAGAAAAAACATTTAGGCGGAAATGAATGAGGATTTCCGAAATTTGCAAAATGATAAGGAATGAGAACATCTGCTAAGTATCAAAAGTTTTTGAGTCATATCATCAAGTCTGCATCCATCGACTTGTAGTATCTTGAGGACCTACATCTGTCAATCTTGTTACCATGTTTTAGTTTGACCATCTTTGACAGTTTGCTCACAAAATGAGTTTAAATGTTGCAGTCAATCATTTTGTGTTTGTACAGTACAATGGTACACTTGTAACATCAGAAGACAAGGGCTAGGCAACAGATCGTTTATTAAGGAAATCAACACATTTATAGATTTTCATGTACATATTATAGATTATTGTTAGCAGAAAAACGCAGTCTTCTGATTGGTTGTTTCTCACAGAAAGTTAACCTTGCATCTCTTTGTGGCTGTTTTTTGAATGTCAGATCATCTATATGTTAACTGTATCCGCCTACGCAAAGCCTTTATTCTCATTTTTCTCACGACCAATATTGGGGACATAAACATTGACGCAAATTACTGTCCACCAATTTTGACTAACAGCCAGCTCTCACCACACACTTACTTCTCTGAAGTGTTAACTCATCTTTCTAGTCTCAAATTACTGTTTATTGCCATTTATTTTCCACCATTACTAAATTCCTAAATATAAGTGGTCAGCTTCAGTTGATGTTATTGTCCCCTTTTAGAAGTGTTCTAATCGTAAGAACTCATTCTACCTTACTAATAATACATAACTGTTATAAGTTTGTAAATTACTGGATAACGTTTTGTCTCCTAAAACAGGTGTTGTAACAAGGTCTTATTTGATAAACCTACATCTATATTTTGTTATATCTAATTACACAGTCTCAAATTTAATAAAAGCATATGCTTATTCCACTTCTAGTCTGAATGTCAGAGTCTTATTTTCTTTAGCTAGAGTGGTTTGTGTATAACCCTTGTCGAATGAGTGTATAGTTGACGTCTTACAATTGTTGAAATCTAGTATTGTCAATGTGTAAATTACGTGTTGCAAACTAACTTTTATTTAATTATGAGCAGTAAATAATTAGAACCAACTGTTTACAGAGTTGTTGTGACTAACAATTAAGTTAGAACTCAGTTACCTAGAAGTGATTTTGCATATACCAGACTATGAGCTACATGTATTGCGTGCGGGTTTCGCTGGATTTCGCAGATGATATATGTCTAATGTTGCATAAACTTGAAGACTTGCACTAGAAAACCAACCAACTGGCTGAAGAAGCTGGCAGAGAAGACAGAATTGCAGGTGAACATAAAGAAGATGGAGGTGATGAAGGTAAGTAACCAACAGCAACAACGACAATCAGCACTAATCACCATGAACGAGAGAGATTTAATACTTCATTTATCTGGAAAGTATCGTTTCAACTACAGGCAGAACAGATGAAGATGTTAAAGTCAGAATCGAAAAGGCAAGATACACCTTCATCAACCTGAAACCAGTTTGGAAATCTTCTGCAGTAACTCAACGTAGGGAACAAGATTGGAATTTTCAAAACCAATATGAAGTTGGTTCTTCTATACAGGTCAAAAACTTGCACTGCGTGTCACGAAAAGGATTTCCAACAAGTTGCCGACTTTCATCAACAGCTGCCTTTGCTGTCTCTATACTGAAGATCAAATGGTTGGCCAGAAAAAATCAGTAAAAAGAAACTTTGGTTGAAAATAAACCAACCAAGAGCAGATTGCTCAGTAAATATGTAGGCGAAAATGGAGATGTATTGGGTATACGTTGAGGAGGCCGTCGAATGACATCGTTTTCAACACAGGCCATCGCCTGAGTGGGATCCCAATGGCAAGCGACAAGTGGGTCGTCGTTACAAGAGTGACATGGAAGAAATGAGAGATCATGGAGAATCATAGACCCAGCTGAAGAGGATAACAGAAAATAAGACAAAGTGGAGATGTGTTGCTGAAGCCCTTAGTTCCAGTCGGAACCCTACGGAATAATAATAATAATAATAATAGAAGGCGTCTCTTATAAGAAATAGTTGTTTGATTAAAACCACTAAAATATAATTTATGAGTACAAAAAAAGACAGATTGAGGTCATATATCATGTTTAATGAGCACTGTGCATTTTATAGTTCACGTCTGTCACACCATACTTTCATTCAGTAATGGTTGCCATTGTAGGCAGAAGTTTCGTGTAGGAATTTTTTAACTGCTGACCACTGTTGTAAATAATTAGTAAAACTGTTTTCATAAAACTATAGCCCAAGAATAATAGTGAACAAAGTGAATAACAGAAAAAAGATTTAATTAGCCAACTTTCTTTATCTGGCGTGGAAATCAATTCTGTCAGCTTTCGTAATTGAAACATAATATGGTGACACGCAACAAATATTACCCGCCAACGTATATGCAATTAATATATATATATATATGTTCCAGGTTAGAACACGGATTGATATCAGTTAGAGAAACATGGAGAACCAAGGAGTACTGGACAGCCAGCTGTTTCACCCTAGTTTGGAATTCATCGGTGGTACCCATCCACTCGGTTTCAAACCCACGACCTTCCGGTTACAAGGGAAGCTCGTATACCATTTAGCCACTGGGACCTGATTCGATTGCCCGTGAATCCGATGCTTTCTAGTGACTGACTACGGGACGAAGTTTCCTGAAGTTCACGTAAGAAGTCGTGACCAGTTGGGTCTATGCAGTCAGGAGTGAGGATGGAGTTCCCACCAATGATATTGGTTGGTAGTCACGTTAAAATCACGAATTGGTAGAAGTTAGAATTCATGGACTGGTCATTGAATCGGGTCCCAGTGGCTGAATGGTATACGAGCCAGCTTGCCTTGTAACCGGAAGGTCGTGGGTTCGAACTCCTGTTGGTGGGTGCGTACTGCCAATGGTTCTCAAACTAGGATGAAACAGCTGGCTGTCCAGTACTCCCTGTTCTTCTGTGCTTCTCTAACTGATATCAATCCGTGGTCTAACCTGAAACAAATACAATCGCTACATACTAATTCTTGATATATACATATCAGAAAACCAACAAATTATGTATGCAAGAATTCATAAGTTGATTTATTTAAGTTCTTTGTTTTTGTTAATTTAGAATTGTAAATTAGTATATGTAACATTACCACTTCGAACAACTTTGACTGTGACTAATATTTGATAGTGACTAAACTTGTGAGTCATACATATACGAAGTGTTGGCGTACGGTGACTTGTTTGGTTACAGAATTGATTCGACCATTACATCGATCAGATAACCATTGGGAAAACTGGAAGTACTGGGCAACTGTCTCGTCCTAGTTTCCAATTCTCCAGCAGTTTGTATCCATGACTTCACTGGGGATCTAACCTTATCTCTACAGGAGTTACAAGGCCAACTGGTTGGCCATTCAGTCACTGAGATGGAATCCAATCACCCATGAATTCTAATTTCTATCAATTTGTGATATAAAGTGCAATCTCCAACCAATGTCATCGGCTAGTATTTGTCTTCACATTTGATTTGGTGTTAATTATGCCTACACAATGATTTTCCTTCTTTCAGTCTATGATCCTTTACACTGGGTACAGATTTGTTCACTGAGATTGTGAATTATTTTGTATTGTAAGCCGCACAAGAATTACTTCCTCTACCTATTGAAACAGTCCACCTAATAAATGATGAATAATGAGTCATCCAGAAAATCAATGCTATGAGATGACGATACCATCTTGGAGTTTTTCTACGATCGCGTTACAACTAGCCTGGTTGACAATCATAAAAATGTCTGACAATTAATTAATTTCAAATTAGGTTATATGGAATAATAGTACATATTTGCAACCAATCATATTTAAATAGGTCAAGGCAGGACAAAAGTTGTTTTCTGTACACAATTTAAGAGGCATGTGACCATTCTAAAGTGCTTCCATCAGTAGTAGCCTTGACTTAAGGCTATTTGAAATAATAACTGAAAAACAGACTATTAAATTGGATTTTGTGACTAGACATTAAGAAATGTTTTACAATGGATAATGCTGGACATCTATCCAGATTAAGTATATTTGGATTTTCTGTAATAGCCGCACAGAGGTGCATCATTTCAAGTTGCCACAGTTCATGCAGCACACAAAGGTAGGAGACAAAGAGAGAGAGAGAGAGAAAAGATATTTAAAAAGACCTATAACGAGCAGAATTTTAAGGGAGAAAGAATAGTAATGTGGAAAAATATGACGGTTTTTAGTGGATATGGAGCATCACGAAGAGCGAATACATCTGCTTCACTGAGGACGATTTTCAACCATATGACCAACAGTCTGAAGCCATTGGATCTTAGAATCCTGTAGGTGGCTGGCTCAAACCGACTGTCAAAGACTTTTTGGATTGACCACCGTTAACTCTTTTCCAACTTAATCCATTTCTCGACAAGAAAGGTGACGGCTCAGCATGTGTAACACGTTTCCTAGTTATCTCAATTTATGTAGCTTCACAACCTTATCAATTAACTTATCCTCCTTACTGAGCACCCCATGCCTCACCCCAATATTACTCACCCTGTTACACCACGACCTAACACAGACTCAGACACTTATGATCAAAGACAGCTAACAAGGCAAGGCTTCTTGTCGATTGCCTCCAACCATCTGATACCAACAATTCACAGTGCACCGTGATGGCGGGGCCACCTAGCATTGTGGCCACATTGCATACTTGACTGATAGAATTCAGTCTGCACCAATCAAAGAACAGCTGACCTTTTCATTTCCTCAAGTTTCAATGACGATGTCTCACAAACATAATGGAGGGTAGAGCTAACTGCTGAGCTGTAGACATGTCGTCTAATCAATAACCGGATCTCATGTCTACACCAGAAGTGACATGTAGTGAATTTAATTCTATAAAATAAAGGTAGATTATCCAAAACTAGAAGTAGTCTGTAGTCTGTTTCTTTTACGTTTGATTCAGTATGATGATGAAAGTGAGACATTGAAGATTTTGATTTTCTTTTTTGGCGTAGAAGATGTTGCACAGTGATTATCTTGAAGGCATATGGCACAAAGCTGAGGTCGTTTCCGTAGAATGACAATTTTGCATTTAAGTGTCATCAAGGTGTGCTTCACATGAGAAAATCAAATTAGTTAATCCATTTGATAAATTTAAACAAATAGTGATACTCATTATTATGTGCAAGTATACAATAGCCTTAACTGCCTATTCACCTTACTAGCTTCTTTGTCTTCAACTGTTCATTGCATTTATCTCCATTGCAAATTTTACCTGAAATAATTAATAATTTATTTCGCGCTAACTTTTCAAATTCTGTCTACTTTGAATCGTTAAGTTTAATGCATGTAAATTAACATTTTTGTAATGTTAACTAAAAAATTTTTAACTGAAAGTCATCACATATCAAGTCTACTGTTCAATTTTTATCAAAAGTTAGAATTTAAAATATTTTAAGTATTTGTTTCTAAGGATTTTATTGATCTCAGTTAAAGAACCACTGACAATCATTGAGTCCTGGTTTTTGTTACATCCTTTGCAATCTGAAGAGACTTGCTTTCTATCCTAAGTGGTATAAGCACTTTCTTTCAGAAAAGTCCTAAACTATAAAGAGACAGCTTGTCCGGTACTCCTTAGTCTAAACACTCGGTTTTCGGTCGATAAATCACGAGTTTGAGTCCCGCTCCACCTACGTTAGCCTGGGTAGTTGAGTAGTATCTTCAGCGCTCACACGATGAGTCTGGCTGTTAACCGCATACATAGAAAATCTGTTCCGGGTAATTGAATTTATGCAAACAATACTCGCTGGTTTTCGATAGTTCTCTAATTGATCACCGTTTGTAATAAAATCTATTTTAAAAATATTCTATTTGAGAGAAGCATTGTTTACTCGAATGAAATGAATTCAGCTTTTATTATGTGTATTAAATTGATTTCTTCACCGTTAAGAATCCACTTTTCAATTTTTGGGTGTGGTTTTTTTTCTAGCTTCCTCGTAATCTTCGTCAGATATATGTGCATAGTTATCAATCGTTCTTATGGAATCATGTAGCCAGTCGTCGAATGGCACAACAGGATCCAGATGATTATTATGCTAAACCTGGTGATCTTTATTATAATAATATTGATGAGGTGACTATTTCAGATGAATTTAAAACTGGTATGTTGGTGCAAAAAGTAATATGTTATCCTTAAACAATATATATCTTTCTAAATAGCTGTTATCTTATAACCAAATCAATAGATCGGCAGGATCATATAATATCCGGCTGTCGATCAAAGGACGTGTGTACTGCTCAGGAGTTCGCGCCGTCCTCCTTTATGACTGACTATTAGACATGGCCACTCAAAATTGAAGACATGAAAAGGTCAGCTGGCTGTCTTTGGTAATAGGCGTCTGCGTTCTATCTCCCGTGTTAGGGGGCATAACAGAGTGAGCAATATCGAGGTTAGACGTTGAGTTCTAGGTAAGGAGAGTAAGTCAAAAGATGAAGTTGTGAAGAGTAAATTCAGATGATTATGACATGTGTTACGCATTCACGCCTAGCCATCGCCTTCCTCGACAACGAGCAATCTTAGCTGTCTGACACAGAATGGTTGAGGTTGGAAAAGAGCTAGTGGTGTGGTCAAACCAACAGATGGCTTCATCAATCAGTGAAATCCATGACAGTTAGTTTGAGTCAGCCACGTAGGCCGGGGGTGGGGAGGTGTAGACTTCTGTCTGGTTGGGGTCATTGGGATGGTGATAACCAATGATGACTGGAGACAACTGGTGATATGGCTGTCTGAAAATCGTTGTCAATAGCTGGTGCAGATGTATTCACTCTTTGTGATTTGTAATATCTAATAAAGTTCTGTTGTTCTTCCATACTAGTATTCTTTTTCCGTCACTCACAGTTTTGTTTTTATCTGTCTTTTAAACCTCCCTTTACTGTCTTCTCTTGCTTTGTGTGCTACAAGGTGGGTGTGGTAAGTTGAACTGCTGCACATCTGTGGCGAGTTGTATATCGAAACTAGTTAGTCAGACAGTGATCATGTCTAAATGTATTTTAGGAACTCTTTTAAGGCTATACAAAGAACATTTATGTATTCACATTTGAGTTTTTTTGGTCGCTCATTATCTTAAATTCTGAATAAATCATCTCCACTAACTCTTTGTCATCTGTGTTTATGCCTTTTATGCTGGTACGTAAATACAAGTGAATAAGGTCAGGCAGTCACACATCACATGAAGAGTTTTCCATGTGCATATGTGTGTGATCGTTGAAAAATGAAGAAAAAGAATCTGACCTTATATTTAGTATTTATTTTTGTTTTGTGTGATGCATTGTAGTAAGAATTCCATTGTGTGCTAAAAAAAAATAATGTGATTTAGAAATGCTATAATCTTCACCTGTATAGTGAGTGTCATAGGAATACCTCACATAAAGTGATTATAATATTCACAGTTTCATATAGTTATAAATAAATAATGCAAATAAGTCACCTCTTAAATGCTCTTTTTGTTATTCTAATGAGGCAGACGTTACAGAGAAAGAGATGTGGAGAGACAAAGAGGATGAATGAGATATTGGTAGAGTGTAATATGAACCTAGGAAACACTTGTTGTTGCTGTCATAACTCAGTTATTCAGTATAGATTTTCTATGTACACCAGGCCTTGAGTAGGTTTGCTTATATTGTTTGAAGTCTGATGATATCTGAGCTCTGGAGTATATAAAAAGCGGAATTCAACTCAGGAACCCATTAGTTGAAAGTTGAGCGCTTAAGACAGTGAGTTACTAGCTTTAAAAGTCAAGTGGTCAAACCGGTGAATCAAATCTCAATGTGTCAGGTGTAATGTTGCATTCAGCTAAGCTAAGGATGAAACTTAATTTTAGTAATCCTTATTTCCACTTATATTAGATGGCAAGTAAACGTTTATATGGTACAATCTGTAATTAATATTGAAGTTAAGTGTAAGCTGCTAGGTGAGTATGAGAAGTCAATCAATGAAGTTGTGAAGTTACATTGGTTGATATACCTAGGACATGTGTTAGAAATGCCGAGTCAGTCAGTTTGTCGACGAGCAATGTTAGCTAGGTTTTTGGGATTCTAAGAGCCAATGGCTGGAGACTTTTGGTGATACTGTTCAAAACCGTTCTTAATGACATCGCAGATACATTTTCACCGTGTAATCTCCCAGATCGATTCAATCATCAAGTCTTTCTCTGTTACTATGATTTCTTCCATACATTTTCACTCATTACAATCCTGTTGAATTTCTTTTTTCTGTGCTACGTTGAGTTGTGGCTGTTTAAACTGCTGAACTTCTTTCTGTACAAAGTTCCATGTTGAAACTCAGTGGTACCAGTCTGTTTATATTTTCAACTAGTATCATCATACTTTCAAGTTGCCTAAAAAATATTTCCGTAAGATAGTAAGTAGTTTTAAATTTTTTGCCCTGCTCATCATTAATGAAAAGAAAACAACGTTAAACCTCCGTTTAGTCTCACTTTGGTGCTTTTCATTAGTGTGCATATATATTTTCCTGAGATTGGGCTTAAGAATGCTAAGTTTCAAGGTGAATATGCTGTCATTCAGTTACTAGATCAAAATAGTGTGCATTTCGCAATTTCCGCCTATTAAAGTTATAATGGTGTTGTCATATACTGTCATTAATGAGTAAATGCCATCAAGTCTAACTCAGTAGACCTCATACTGACCGTGACTCCTTTCTCATTTTGTCCTGTTGAATAATCATATGTCTGATTTTAACCGTGTAACGGTAGAAGACAAGTAACTTGGTAAAGGAATGTTTATCTGGAATTTGGTATCTCAATATAGCAAAATTATGTACACCTTATCAGGCCATTGATCGAGTGGAACCCGAAAGGAAAGCGGTGAGTGTGACGTCCAAGGGTGACATAGAGGAGATCGTGTGAAGAGGAGTTGAAACAGTATGGACTAACATGGATGCAGGTGAAAAGTACAGCAAAAGACAGAATTGGCAAGTGGAGACGTGCAGTTGAAGCCCTATGTTCCACTAGGAACCCAAGGGAACAATAATAATAATTATCTCTAAATCATCATTTGCACAGATCTTCTGTCTTGTTCTACTTCTACCCCTCGTATTGTGTTTCTTTGTCTTTCTTTTCACATCTCACGTGTTTTGCTGCAACACTGAATCATATTCCCTTTTTGACGTAAAATCTATCTCCTTGGTATATTTTTTATATTTGATATTTCTATGTGGATGAACGTCTCTTTATATATAAAATTTTAAGTATTGGTTTTTGTAGGGATTTTGTTTGATTGCATGGAGGATTTAATCATGAGCTGACATCAGTTAGAGAACCACTGGAAAACCTGGGAGTACTGGACAGCCGTTTCGTCCTAGTTTGGGACTCCTCAGCAGTACGTCCCAAACTAGGACGAAACGGCTGTCCAGTACTCCCAGGTTTTCCAGTGGTTCTCTAACTGATGTCAGCTCATGATTAAATCCTCCATGCAATAAAATTTTAATTTTTCCTTCATGTTCGCAGTTGAACATAGGGCTTCAAGCTAGTGGCTTGAAGTTTCTGTAGCAGTGTTTATTTTTACAGAATGGGGTTCCTAGCCTCATGCCCAACCTTCCTTCTTCACCAGTCTTAATACTGGATAGGTGAGGTAAAGGAGTGCGTCGACCGGGAATGGAACCCCGGACTATGTGCATGGTCGGTGAGCGTCCTAACCGCTGTGCCACCGACGCAAGAATGAATAAATTTATTTATTTATTCTCTTTATAGACTACTGATAAATCTTATCAGTAGCACACGCTACAATAAATGAACTCTGCTGTCATTGCATCATATTGTCTGTAGATATCACACCGTATACGTTCGAAAGTTGTTTTTTTTTAATTATACAAATTCAGTTTGTAATCTCTTCTCTAATATGATATGAATACATCACTATCCATACCTGTTATTTAATAATAGACTTCATTTTCTTTGGAGTAATCAAAAACAATTTTATTACGAATTAAAATATTGTGAATAAGCTGCCTTCGTCGTTTGTATTTAATGCTAAGTATCTGTGTGTATGAGGAAGTCTTTTGATGAACTGTCCTAAACATTTGTGATAGCGAATGCGATACATATGGCTGGTAGTCACGTTAAAATCACGAATTGGTAGAAGTTAGAATTCATGGACTGGCCATTGAATCGGGTCCCGGTGGCTGAATGGTATACGAGCCAGCTTGCCTTGTAACCGGAAAGTCGTGGGTTAGGACTCCTGTGGTGGGTGCGTACTGCCAATGATTCTCAAACTAGGATGAAACAGCTGGCTGTCCAGTACTCCTTGGTTTTCCATGATTCTCCAATTGATATCAATCCGTGATCAAACTCAAACTCGATACATATGTGTTTAATAATTTCTTGATCAAAATAATTGGGTTTTTTATTATTACTGATTTCTTTAGAGGACGTTATCCCAGAAGAATTAATTTCAGAAATGGGTGAAACCTTAGTGGCACCAACAAATTGTACTCCTTCGCGTAAAACATCTCTCATTCATCCATCAATTGTTGGAGAAGATGAAATTGGAAAAATCCCTTTGAAGTCTGTTGTACTTCCTGTTCCTGGTTATGCAACACACTATCCTAAAAATGAAAGTAAGTTGCACTACAGGTTTTGTATCGATTTAGTTGTTGATGTATAACTTTGAATTTCTTTGCTTTCCTTTAGTGGCTTATCGTGGATGCTACTGAGTCCCAGTGGCGAGGGACTGATATATCTAAAGAATGCCCTCGATCGAATCACAGAGGACCACTTCTTATGTCTTTAGTTTGATCATACTCTACAATACAGCAAATCAGGCTTAGAAGCTAAATTCTCATAGATTCGTCCTTTTAAATATTTAAAACCCATGTGTCCTGTTGATTTCGATTAAGGTCTCCCAGCAACGTCATATCTGCGATTCTCGCGATTAATGCTGGACATTATTATTATTCACCCACTCACTTTTTAGGAGAAGAGTGGGTTAAATATACACCCAATAAGGGTTTTGAATACGTGATCCCAGCTGGATATTTTAAAGGGGAAGATTATTATTATTATTATTATTATTAACGTTCCTTTTGGTTGTGGGTGTAGCATAGGGCTTCAATAACACATCTTCACTTTTTCCTGTTTTCTGTGGTCCTCTTAAGCTTCCCCCCACTATTGTCCATAGTTTCTGCTTGCACAACCTCCTCCATGTGACTCTCGGACGCCTCACTCGTTGTTTCCCCTACGGGCTTCTTTTGAGCGATGGCCTGCATTGCCCCTGATGTCATTCGGTGGCCTTCTCAGTGTGTATCTGGTCCATCTCCATTTACTAGTGCATACTTGTTAAGCAATAGGTTTTCGGTTGGTTTTTTTCCCAGAGTTTCTTGTTGCTAATTCTTTCTGGCCGGTTATTTGATCTTCAAGTATGGAGGCAACAAAGGCAGGTGTTGATAAAAGTTTGCCACAGGCTGTTGGGGATGCTTTTCCTGACCCGAGCACCAAGTTTCTGACCCATACAGAAGAAGTGACTTAACATTCGTGTTGAAAACCCGAAGACTGGTGGGCCCCACGAAATATTCACTGTTACATATCAATGATTATGAATTTCTTTGCGTTACAAGAATTTTTACTATGTATCTAGGACATGAGAGTATATTAACGCTCAATATCCAGACTATTGGTGTTATGAATGTTTGAATCATTCTACAACTACTTAGTATGATCCCAGTATGTTTTCAAATAAATATTAAAAGATAACTTCACAGTCATTTTAAATAAACAAAATTAAGATAAGATGACCTTGGAATCCGTTAAAACCCAGTAGTTTTGTTGCTCTTTGCTTCTTAAATCTTGTTGTCAAGGCATTTGAAAGTCAGTTAAGATGTCTTGTTTAGTGCTTTCTCATGTAACATGTCATTCCCGTCCCAGTCAACTTTATAATGTTTAAAGTTAGGTTAAATTGTTCACTCACACACAACAGTCACATCAGCAAAGATTGTTTAAAATCAAATTTTTTTATTTTTTAAATATCATATTATTCTATTTATTTCAATATGGGCTTCGTAACTAACTAACATTAATTAGAGAAATCACTGAAAACTATGTAGCACTGGACAGTTGTTTCATCCTAGACTGAGGCCTTTCAACAATGCGCACTCATGACGCCACCAGAAGTCGAACTTGGACTTTCAGGTTACGAGACTGACTATTTGGCTACCTGAGCCTGACTCTAATAACCCGTGAATACTTATTTTTTCAATTCGTGATATAGCGCCATCGTCAACCACTGCTTTGAATGAGTATCCACTTCCGCTTGAAATAATGGACCCCGCTGGCCACATTTTCTCAGCACGGATTCGAGGCATCTATCTAGGTAGCCATTAATGAGCTGGAGGTTGATATTCAGATTATAGGCTTTTATCGTCGGTCGTGGGTGCGTACTGATGAAGACTCTCAAACTAGAACGAAACAGATGTCGTCTGCTTCGTGGTTTCCAGTGATTCCTAACTCTGTGATGTTAGTTCGTGACGAAATCTATATTGCTAATAATCCAAAAGCCTACAAAAGGAAACCTTATTTAAAATATTTTGTTTACTTTCCATTTGTTTCCGAACGTAGCAAATTCAACTAATGCACTTATGTACGTGTATGTATGTGTCCTTGTCGTTATGTCTGTTTGACCTTTAACTGTGTTCACAATACATTCTACGAATTTTTTTGGTATTCATTAAGTTGTTGTTGTTCATATTTATGACTGCAGTTCATTCACATAAAGTACACGTCCTACAAATGTTGTTTATCTTGTGAATTTTGTATCCTTTTTTCTAGGTGCTGATTGGTATACTGAGTTACTCAAAGCAGATGGTTTATCATCTAAGAATTTTAATAATTCAATTAAGTGAGTACAATTCTTTGGTTTGTTTCATATCTATTTTTTTTTACGAGTTGATCACGGATCGATATCAGTTAAAAAACCATTGGAAACCAGGGTGTACTGGACAGCCAGCTGTTTCATCCTAGTTTGGGAGTCATCGGCAGTACGCACCCACTGGGATTCGAACCTACGACCTTCCGGTTACAAGGCAAGCTCGTATGCCATTCAGCCACCGGGACCTGACTCAATGGCCAGACCATGAATTCTAAATTCTACCAATTCGTGGTTTAGCACGACCCCAACCATTGTCGTTGTTGGGACATCCATCCATACACGTGACATCTAATTGGACCTCACTGGTTACGACTTCTCACTAGAACTCCAGGAAACTCCATCATGTAGCAAGTCACTAGCGAGTATCAGATTAATTTTCGATAGTTTGGTTTGTTGTAAGGGTTAGTTATGTATATATCAAGTGTATTTTTCTGTCTACAAAACAGAGTGGAATATGAAGATTTCAAGTAGTATCAGCTAATCATGACTTTTTTGACTTGTTTTTTTTTCTTCTGAATATCCTGTGTAACTAACATGTAACCTTTACATCCAGAACCTTTAAAACTGTAAATATGCGTTTTCTAAATTAAATCATTACTGATAATAGGGAACTATTAACTGGGAAAATTTAATTTTTGTGTATCAGGCAAATGGGGACGTGGCTCACTGGCTTAAGTACTTAGTTTTTAGTCAGTAAGTCATGAGTTGAAATCCCGCTCCATCTATTTCAATCTGGCTAACTGGAGAGTGCTATCAGCCGTCGAAAAATAAATATAACTCTCAGTCTGGTACATGAAGATCTGTTCCAATTTACTGAGTTCAAACATCAAGCATGAACAAATAAAAATAAACACACAGAAGTGACTGCATAATCATCTCGAAAGTTGTTTGTTCTCGTGAATCAACTACCTGTTATTTGACCGAGATCAGTATCTTACTTTTACGAAAACATAAAATATTTGCCTTTCAATTTTGCTCATGGACTGATTTCACTAAGAGAAATATTAAAAATGAGGGGGTATTGGACAGGTGTTTCGTCCTAGTCTGGAACTCTTCGACATTATGCACCCATGATCCTACCAGAAATTGAACATCAGGTCGAGTGTGAGGACAAATACTCGCCAGCGATGAAATTGTGCTAAAATTGCAAATAGACAGAAGTTAGAGTTGATGGGCCATGAAATTCTGGTACCAGTGACTGAATGGTCAGTGAGCTTGACCTTGTAACCTGGAAGTCCTCGATATGCTAATGAATGCGTACTCCTGAGAAGTTCCAAACTAGGATAAAACAGCTCTCCAGTACACTGGGCTTTTCCGCGGTTCTCTCACTGAAATCAATCCATTATCGCACTTGAAACAAATCAAATCCCCACAAACCAATTCTTTTTCTCACTTGTATTCATAAAATTTCCCCATGTACAGAGAGATATTGCAATCACCACAATAAACTTATGGATGATGATAACGAATGATCAGGTATGACATCAGTTGTCTCTATATGACCTTGTAGTCGAATGCTATCATCGATGTGATCAAAGCTGAAAACAAGGCAAAGCAGCGGGACCTTATGGAATGACTTCAGAGGTATTTAAGTACGATGGAGACAGTTTACCGTCTGCATTAACTGAGGTTCTAAGCAGCGTCTGGGAATCAGAGGAAGTCCCATCGGGTTGGTGTAAGTCACTGATCATCCCGATATACAAGAAGGGAGACAAGTCTTCCTGTGATAATCGCAGAGGGATTAGCTTGGCTTATGTAGTATCTAAAGTCCTAGGCTCAATAATCATGCGTAGACTAAGTGGTGCTCGGGAGGCACAAACACGAGACAGCCAGGCAGGCTTTAGACCAGGAAGAGGGTATATTGATTATATATTAACCTTTCGACAGATTCTAGAACATAGGCATTCCTACCGGCGTCCAACAGTCATTATATTTCTTGACCTAAAGGCAGCATTCGACTCTGTCGATCGGGAAGTTCTCTGGAGATGCTTGGCTGTAAAGGGAATTCCAAGAAAATATATTGCACTGATTAAGGCACTCTACTCGTACCCCTACAGCCAGGTGAGGGCTTACGGCGAGTTGTTATCTGAACTGATGACGACTAGTGGTGTCCGTCAAGGATGCCCATTATCCCCTTTTCTATTCAACTTCATCATAGATGTACTAATGGACTTAACCCTAGGTGACTTCAGCGATTCAGGGATTGACTTTCTACCAGGGAATAATCTCGTTGACTTGGAATATGCATACGATATAGTCCTTCTAGGCGAAGACGCTGACAAAATGCAGAGTCTTCTAAACACCTTGAGCTGCAATCTACGAGTGTTTGGCATACGATTCGCTCCCGCCAAATGCAAGATGATGTTACAGGACTGGACTACACTGACTCCTAGATTAGAAATAGGGAGTGAAGTAGTAGAGCATGTTGACCCATTCACTTACTTGGGAAGTACCATCAGCCCCAACGGGCTGGTCTCTGACGAAATCTCAACACGGATACAGAGGGCTAGTTTCGCATATGCCAGTTTACGCCGTCTCTGGCGTAGACGAGATGTTCGACTATCGACCAAAGGGCGTTTGTACTGCTCATCAGTCCGCTCCGTCCTCCTTTATGGTTGTGAGACCTGGCCACTGAGAGTGGAAGATATGAAAAGACTAGCTGTCTTTGACCATAGGTGCCTGCGTTCTATTTCCCGTGTGAAGTGGTATAATAAGGTGAGCAATATTGAGGTTAGGCTACGGTCGAGTTCTAGGTAAACAGGGGAAATCAATCGACGAGGCTGTGAAGTTACATCGACTGAGATGGTTAGGACATGTGTTACGTATGCCTAGTCATCGCCTTCCTCGACCGACAGGCAGTGTTAGCTGACATAGGGTCAGGCTGGAATAGAGCTAACGGTGGTCAAACCAAAATATGGGACCAGTCAATGAAATCTACAACAGTTAGTCTAAGCCAAGTAGGAAGGTGTAGACTTCCTGGTTGGGGTCCTGGGGACGGTAAAAACTTGTGGCTGGAAACAATTGGTGATATGGCTCAAAATCGTTTTCAATGGTTAGCGAAGATTCATCCACTCCTTGTGACTTATGATTTTCAATGAAACTGTTTTGTTCTTCGTTACTACTATTCCTTTGTCTCACACCTCTGTTTACTGTCTCTGTTACGCATTTCTTCTACTTTCTTCTTTTGCTTTGTGTGCTACATGGAGCGTGGCGACTTGAATTGCCGCACATATGTGCAAAGTTCTATGTCGAAAACAGACAGACAGACAGACACCAAAGCTGAAAGGAGTTTATCATTTAATATGTGAGCTATTTATAAATAAATTTAGATAGTATGTATAGCCACGTCTCTCAAGAAACAGGTATGTGTCACTGGAGAAACGTTGGAAGTAGGTGACAACTTTCAGAAGGGTGTAATGAGCAATAGTGAAGGATGAACAAATTATGTCCAGTACAGAGTGAATTATATTATTATTAATAAATTGTAAATTCAATCTAGGGCTTATACCTTAATGTCTATTATTTTTCTTGATTGATTAAAGATGCCCATTTGAAATTTCAAAAGATTGATTTTAATGAATAAAGAATATTCTTTATGATAACTTCATCATCAAGTTCTACAGTTATATATCCATCCATAATAATGAAAGAATGATTGTTATTGACAGTATTAGTGGTTTAAAAAAAAGTAACATTGAATCATTTAGGTCAAAATTCCAAAAGTTATTTGCAAATAGATTGTTGATAGACTATAGCCCAAAATATATGAGTACGTGGTAATATGTATAGTTGTAATACTAAATTGAACACCAATATTACAAGGTAAATGATTATGAATGACAACAATTGTATCGTAATAAATTCTCATGAATCCTGTTCATATCAAATTCTATTTATATTGATTATCAACTTCAGATAGATGAATGATCATGCCAAGGACGGGAGTAGAGAAAGAGTTTTAGTAACTTAAATATTCTCATAATTTATTCAGAACCAAAATAGTTAGACTGAACAATTGTTTTCAATAAATTCTTCCTCAGGCTCTACAATTATAAATCCATGAATTTAAGCATGCAATAGCCAGTCAGTAAAGGAAAATTAGAATCATGTATTCCGGAGCAAGTATAAGATGGGATGGGACAATAGTCAGTTATTGAATATACATGGTCAATGAGAACATGAGACAAAGTGAGATGAAATTATATATATATATATATAGTCAACTAAACCACAGGTTTCGAGGGTGGGTTTAATTAGTGGTGCATGAGCCAGTATAAATACTGCAGAAAAATAAGCCAACAAATGGAATAGACTAGATAGTAATGACAATAATAATGCTTGTGTCAATATATGTGTAAAACTTGGGCACTGTGGTAGTATGTTAAATTCCATATTAATTTGTTTATTAGATATATCACACAGTGAAACAGTATTAGTATTTACTGGATGACAACACCAACCATAGTGAATATAAATTGGTAGTACTTCCATACAAAGAATAAAAGTAGCATTCAAACCCACAAACTCAATTACAAACAAGCTTTTTCGGTTAAAAGATTCTTTGGAACCTTTAAAACAAAACAATTTAGTTTATCTAATACGCTGCCAATGATTGTCAGGTCAAGTACATAGGACAGAGCAGTAGAACCGGGGCAGTCAGACTAGCGGAGGACAAAAACTTAGCAAAATCTAGATTAGTTGACCTTGATAAGATCAGAAGTCTGGAGAATAGTTCATATATAACACTAGACACAACCACACAGTAGGATGGGATAAGATGACAGTTTTAAAATCTAATGTAACAGTAGGGTGGAGGGAGGGGTTGATTTGGTTTGGTTTATCGAATCAACTACAAATACATGTAATAGGAATGATTCAACGCCTGTCCGGGATATCCGGAAAATTCTACTACCCCGCTACGACGATAAATTGGAGAGAACAAAGAAGACTAGAAAACTCAAGTTTCAAAGTCGTGTGATTACAATTGATATGATTATGAACAATAATAGCTTGTGTTTGAAACGTCATCCAGTTAATAATACTGTTTCACTGTGATATATCTAATAAACAAATTAATATGGGAATAATGATTGTGAAACAATAACGATAATGTGGTGTAAACTGAAAAGTACTATTGGTGAATGATTATCAATTGATAATGAATTCAGTGAAGTGAAATGAACAGGATTTGGTAAATATGATACAAAGTTAGAAAAAGCATTACTTAAATCTAAGGTAATAGAAATCATAGAAAGGTCATGAAATCGGGAAAATTTCAGAAATTAACGTTTGTCAATGAAATAGAGGAAAAGGTAAAATTAGCCTTTACAGGCTATTGTATGTTTAAATTAATGGATTTATAATTGTAGAGCCTGAAGAAAAAATTTTTTGAAAACAGTTGTTTGCTCTATTTTTGTTCGGAAAAAATTTTGCGGTTGAATTTTATGCTCGTTGAGTGTGTGTCAGAGTATAAGGTAACACTACTTTTAAATAAGAAAACTAGAGGTAAGTTAATGCAAGTGTAATGACAAGGGGTAGAGGAATTTATCTGTACAGGATGAAGGACCATCTCAAGAAAGGCTAACGTGACAAGGTATTTATGAATTTGCAGACTCCACAGTAGGCCAGAGCAGCATTGGTGGTTGGACCTGTTTCTTCTGTACACATAGCACCTGTTGTTTCAGGCGAATTACAATGGCCTCTGCTGTTTGGAGTATTCGTTACCTGGATGCTTTTTGGCAATTTATTCGCTAACCGGTAGATGATAGAGAAGGATTCTTCAATGCTGGCTTTGTGGCCTCTTTCGACCAAATGGTCTATTATCGAATTGTTGATGGTTTTTATTACACCGTAATTTAGCCACACTGGTAGGTGTTCACAAGCACGAAAAATCATGTTCCTATAGTAACGGCCAATATAACTCGCTCCACCACAAGCGCCGTTCGATTGGTAGACCCAAGAAGAGGTAGCTAGTCTAGGTACTTTATCTTTCAATGGGGGAATCACAACCGGTCGTGTAGAAAATATAACTTGTAGTTTACTAGCATTAAAAATTCCTTCAGTGGATTTTTTTTAACTCGCTAGCAATTTTTTCATCAGCTGTGTCACTTTTGAACTACAGTCGTATATATAAAGGCTTCTTATTTACATATAGGGAATAGTCCTTTTATGCTTTCTTGGTCATATTTTTCTTGATAAACTTTTTGGAGATACCATATACTGTCGCAGTATACTTGCCCCCGCCAGTCTTATTCTCCTCACTCCTAATACCGTTAATATCTCGTGTTATTTTCTCGCTATCTACTTAAATTTATTAAAACACACATCAGTAATACTCGAATGATAGTCCAGGTTACTCTGGAGTCAAAACATTCAAGATACATAGAAGACAAATTTTTACTAAATATGGTCATTAGTTTAAGAAATTTTTAACTAAGTATAAAATTGAATATTGTTTACTTTCCCCGAGGCTATATTGCTTGATCTCAGACAAAGCAAAGTGATAATCGAGTATAATAACTATGATGGAGGGCACAATTTCAATGGACTTAAAAGTCAAAGAGGTCACTGTGATGTGACCAGAAACTTCTATTCTCTTTTTTGAAAAAAAAAACCTAAGGACTTAGGAAATGTGAAAAAACAACTGTGAGTAGTCATTGTTGAATTGTTTCTGTTGCATGAATTTTGTAATGTCAGGATTGAACTGTCTGCGAAATGAGACTGGGATGAGGAAATGTTTTGTGTTTCGGTATGAAAGACGAATATGCTGACCAAAGTTAGATGATCAATGTAATCGAATCAAACCATTTCACACTGCCTTTCTCATACGCTAATCTTGATCGCTCTCACATTCCCTCGATCAGTTTAAACATATTCTTTTCTCACGATCATGACATTACGCTCCACTCCACTCATGTATAACTGCTCATAGAATTGTATGAAGTTCAAGTAAAAGAATACACCGAGATTTTTATCCAGCCCGCCTCTCTCATATCTATTTTATTGCACATCACTTCGCAATCACTCCTCCAAACATCCACTCTTATTGACTGTGTATCGTTCAAAACATTGTGAATATTATGTGAGAAATGCATTGAATCAATCAAACGGTGGATATTTGTTAGTGAGAACTCACCAGCATGTGAAATCCACATCATCATCGCCTAAATAAGAGAGATCCACAGTTGACAACTTGAAAGACGACAACACCCTTATTCACATATCTCAGTGATAGGTTGAAAAAACACTTCGTCTTCCTATGATCAATATATTGTGTTTATGAATGATCGTAAGCATCTTACTTTATTGATTTGTCCACTAGTGTTTCAACCTGATATGAATCGAAATGTATTATTCCAGCAAATGAGATATTTTTTTCTACCTGCTGTGTGACTTTTATTTTAGAGATTTTGCACTTCCTGGATCCTATCGACAGTTGATTGTTGTTCCGACAAATGTTGAATATGAATTCCATGAATATTCAGACCCTAATATACCACTGGTTAAATCTGATCTCCAGCTTCTTAACAATACCAATGACAATCAGACCAACATGTCAAAAAGTGAAACACAGGACAATGATATTTGCATAAATAAAGGTGAACATAATATTATGAATATAGTAAAGAAAATATGCTGATTACGATTTCTATGTGAAATATGAGATATTTCTTTTTATTGTATTTTTGTATAAGCATTACTACTAACATAAAAAATAGTAATTAGTGAGATGGCTTTGCTAAGTGTAATGTTCAGCCTCTAAAGCATTAGTGTAATGTTCTTGTTTACTTCAGAATTTACTAACGAGTCATTTAGTAAAAGCTTGAAACAAAGCAATTGAAATGAAAATATTTGAACAACCATTCGCGGATGATTTATGTTTGGTGTCACACAAAATCGAAGACTTACAAGCGAAAACCGACCGACTGCTCGAAGAAGCAGCCGGTGAAGACAGGACTCCAGGTGAACATAGACAAGACGGAGGTTATGAAAATAACCAACCAACAGCAACATCCAGCATCAGTCACCATCAACGAAAGAGACTTGAAAGAGGTCACTTCATTCACTTATCTAGCAAGTATTGTCTCAACTACAAGAGGAACGGACGAGGATGTCAAATCGAGAATTGGGAAGGCGAGTGAGAAACACATTCATCAACCTGAAACCAATCTGGAAATCTTCGTCACTCAGCATCAATAGCAAACAAAATTCGGATTTTCAATACAAACGTAAAGTCAGTTCTTCTATACGGATCAGAAACTTGGCGGGTGGGTCACAAAAATATTTCCAACAACCTGTTGCAGACCTTTATCAACCAACGACTTTTTTCGCTCTATACTGAAGATAAGGTGGCCGGGCCGGAAGGAATCATCAACAAGAAACTATGGGAACAGACAAAACAAGAACCAATCGCCAACCAACAAATATGCAGGAGAAAGTGGATGGAGATGGATTGGACACTCGCTGAGGATGCAGCTGGGTTACATCGCGCGCGCGTCAGGGCATTGCTCGAGTGGAACCAAGCTAAAAGAGAAGCGGCGAGTGGGACGTCAGTGCAAGGGTGACACGGAGATCGTGTGGAGAGGAGTTAAAACAGTATGGACTAACATGGATGCAGGTGAAAAGTACAGCAGAAGTGGCAAGTGGAGACGTGCAGTTGAAGCCCTATGTTCCACTAGGAACCCAAGGGAACAATAATAATAATATAATAATTGAGTAACTCCCACTGTAACCTGGGAAACTCAATTAAACCTGATTAAGATTAATTTGCAAGGAATACGACTTTCATTCATATTTTTGAATTACTGGCACAATAATCTGACTGAATCGACCAGCCTTATATATATATATATATATATATATATATATATATATGCTCCTTGAGTGTGTACATAGATAATACAAAGAATAAGAAGTTGAATCCACGACACGCATCTCGTCCTATTTGGGGACTCGTTGGCTGAATTTAACTGTTCCACAATGGATGATAGTATTCCCACTAAGACTCAAACACATTGCCTATCTCTTCAAGCGCCAATACGTTGTCTATATAGCCATAAATACTGGACTGGAACACCATCGCTTTCTGAGGAGCATTTACATCATCCACCTGGTGACTTCTAAATAAGAGGAAGTGTGCATCTTTGGTTCTACTGCCAGCTATCACCCAACAAGGTAACTTTTTTGTTTTAGCGAATCTTTTCTCACCACCAACAAGTTTCAGATAACTTCTAGGGTCATACAAGAATCTACTGGGAGAAATATTTCTGAAAATGTTATTGATATAGAAGAGTGACAAATTGTCTCCTAACCAGTAAATATTGACTTCAAATCTCATTCCATCTACGTTGGCTACGACATTTGTGCACTGTAGTATGCTTCCATTAATCAATCAAGGTTCATGGCTTTTTCAATTATAGGTTTACTGTGATACATTGTTTGTGCTCTCCATCAGTATACTATTTGATTTCTGACCGTTAATAATAACATGAATAAACAATATAAATTCAACTAAAGACACCTCTACTTTTCAATTATTCTGTTAATATTATCTGAGGTGTTGACAATGGATAACTATTTACATCCTAACTCCGGGAAAAAACACTCATTAATGAGGATGGTCACAAAGTGTGCATATTGGCTTTTAAAATATGTGAGCATAAAAAATATTGTAGATCTGAATCAAGTTATTCTTAAACATTTATACAGTGAATGAAAGAAAATTTGTCACTTTATCCGGCTTATATTATGCATTTCGTTGGTTTAAATCTATCAGCTTATTAAGGTTAGGCGCTCAGCGCTAGGTAAGGAAGGGAAATACGTCGATAAGGTTGTGAAGCAATTCCTTCGATGGAGATAGTTAGAACATGTTACGCATGCACGCCTAGCCACCACTTTCTTCGACAATGGGTAGTGTTAGTCGGCTGACACAGGAGGGATGAAGTTGGAAAAGAGCTAATGGTGTGGTCAAACCAACATATGGCTTCATCAGTCAATGAATTCCATGACAGTTAGTTTGAGTCAGCCATGTTGGGAGGGTGGTGTAAACTTCTGTCTGGATGGGGTCTTTGAAATGGTAATAACCAATGACGGCTAGAGACAATTGGTGATATGGCTGTCTCAAAATCTTTCTCAGTGGCTGGCGCAGATGCATTCACTCTTTGTGATTGATCATATTCAATAAAGTTCGGTTGTTCTTCCATACTACTAATCTTTTTCCCTCACTCACACTTCTTTTTTTTAATCTATGTTTACTCTTTTCTGTTGCATTGTGTGCTAAATAGAGGGAGTGCGGCAACTGGAACTGTTGCACATCTGTACAAAGTTCTATGTTGAAACCAGTCAAATTTGTTAAGTGTATTTAGAAGTACAAAAATTAGTGAAATAGTCTTCTACATATATTGATATTCTTATTCATCAAAATTAACTTTTATGCCTTTCAGATAAAAGCCAACAGGCTGTTGTGCTCACGTTTAATTTACCTAAATCAGGTTATGCTACAATGGCAATACGAGAAATTACAAAAACTGCTATAGAAAGAAGATAACTTCCAATATACACTCGGACACTGGAATCATCAGCATGAATCTGGGAAAATGCTATTGAATTCTCTCAATGTTTTATAAGCTGTATATAATAAAAGTTTTTTTTCGGTCTCAAAAACATTTCTGTTATTCTTTTTTGTTAGAGGGTTTAAGTTCATTGGTAAGTAGCAAAATGCAAATTAGTTTGTTGTGTTGGATGAAAAAAAGAGCGTCGGTGGCATGTTAGCATGTTCGCCGACCATGTACATGGTCCGGGGTTCGATCCCCGGCCACAGACGCACTCCTTTACCTCACTTACCCAGTAATAAGATTGGTAAAGAGGGAGGGTTGGGCATGAGGCTAGCAACCCCATCCTGTAAAAATAAACACTGCTACAGAAACTTCAAGCCTCCAGCTTGAAGCCCTATATTCCACTGGGAACGTGAAGGAAATAAGAAGAAAGAAATGAAAAAAGCACTCGATATATATCACCTATTCAATTATGAAGCTGTGACTTATTGGTTTGGGCGTCTGACTCCCAACTGTGATGGGTCAAGGCTTCGGACCTACCTGTTAGACCTCAATAGGTGTTGTGGCTCACATCTGAGTTGAGTTGACCTATACATTTATGGAAAAATTATTTATAATATATAATGCTGGTGTTGTATATTATCTAAATAAAAATAACGACTCGCTCATCTGTTCCGCTTAAGTTTTGTTGATCAGTAAAATTAACTTGTAAACTCTTATAATCTCGAGATACTAGCAGAAAATTGTCTGTGGAAGTTATTTGATCAGTTCTTTATTTTACAGTCAAAGTAGCTACTGCATGGGGGATTTCACCATGAACTGACATCGGATAGAGAACCACTGGAAAACCTGTGAGTACTGGACAGCTGTTTCGTCCTAGTGTGGGGCTCTTCATCAGTACTCACTCACTGGGGTTCGAACCCAGGATCCTCTGGTTACAAGGCGAGCTCGTAAACCACTGGGTTCGAACCTCCGTGGGTGCGTACTGATGAAGAGTCCTAAACTAGAACGAAACAGCTGTCCAGTACTCACAGATTTTCCAGTGGTTCTCTATCCGATGTCAGTTCATGGTGAAATCCTCCATGCAATCAAACAAAATCCCTACAAAACCAATACTTGAAAAGAAGCTATTGTTTAACACTTTCAAAATTATATATTTAAGAATTATTTAATTTCCCCTTTTGTAGTACATTGTCGATAAGTTCTTAATATCTAATAATTCTTGTTCACGGTTAGGCTATATCTCAAAAGATGAGCTAGAATTCTCTCTGATTTTATTCTTGACGTTTTACTATCATCTAAATATATGGGAAATTTTTCTTGGCAAACATTTTTAGCGTTTCAATTACTCAGAATGATACCAAAATTGTGGAATATTTATTATTTTTCCTTTAGGTTCCAAGGGAGGACATCTAAAGAAGGCTTTATCAGTGCATCACTAATTCAATCTGTTCTCTTCAGTAGTTTTTAGCTGACTCCACGATTGCCTCCAAGCTTTTATTTCCTGCTCACTATATCGTTTCTATTTTGTCCCTGGATGCCTAACTCGTTGCTCGGCAGTCGCATTCCATTCAATGGTTTGGCTCATAATGTCACTCAACGTGTCCGATCCATCTTTATCTATGGGTCCTTGGTTGGTTCTTTGACGGATTTCCTTGTTGTTTCTCCCTTATTGCCAACAATTTGGTCTTCGGTGTGAAGCGAAAGTAGCTGCTATAACGGAAGTCTGCAACAGGCAGTTGGAAATACTATTGGTGTAATGCGCACCACATATAAGCAGTGATTTGACGTTGATGTTGCTCAGTGTAGAAGATAAACTGATAAGTTTCCGAGTAATAAGGCATGTCCATTGAATAACCTGGGAGTACTGGACAGCTTTTTCGCCAGCCTAGTTTGGGACTCTTCATCAGCACGCTAGACTGACCAAACACATGTACTTCCTGCAGGTTTTCCAACGGTTCTCTAATTGATTTCAGCTCATGATGAAATTAATTAATAATACTTGGTCAAAATTCCTGTCTGTCTATATCTTCTTATGGATGCGTTAAGAAATGTTTTACAACTGTTTACCCACACACGCATGCACACTCTGTTTAAAGTGTTTAACAAAGGTAGACCAATATTTGTAAGTCCAAGGTCAAATTTTCATCACAGGTCATACAATATTTTTTTTTACTTGTTTTATGAATCATGATTGGACAAAGTTGTTAAAAACAAGAAGTGTTCCTTTTATACATAAACCTCTGTTATGTTAATTTTGATTAATTTCCCTGAAGAAGTTCGGACCAGATTGCCAAACGAAACGTTGGAATTACTCATTTCAATCTCGCTGAGATTTTACAAATATAATTTTTTACAAATGTCTACTTCTCACTCGGTGCCCAAATATTTTAGAACTATTCTGTCAAATCTTGACGACAGTTGTTATTGTTAAAGATATGGTTCCTAAAATGTCACAGGGTAATTGTGTCTATACGATAAAATGTGAAGCTTGCTATATAGGGGAGAGTGGTAGACACGTGAAGGTCAGAGTGAATGAACATAGACTATTCACGAAACGTCCACCTAGAAATGGACTAGAATAAAAGTGTCGAGAAAGAAGATCGGCTATAGCAATGCATGAGATAGACAGCAGACATAAAATTGATAAAGAAAGGTTGACCTCTGAAGTCTTGCATATTTTAACCACAACGAATGCAGCAAATAGGAGAGAAGGGACAGACTTATCACCTATATGGCAAACTCTAATGAAGCAAGACAGATGAGAAAAACAACACCCTCTATGAACCTCCATGACGCTTAAAAATAGTATTATCATGTGTATCATATGTGAATTAACGTCTTTTCCATACGACAAATAACATATACTCACACAGACAAATATGCACAATGACAATTTGACATTAGTCAATACAAACATATGATGGCTGCTTACACATTTCTATCTTCTTGTACCGTTGTTCGACAAATTCGCCTGGCGCATTTTTGTTTAAATAATAATAGATTCAAACTGCTTTGGAATATATAAGATTGTGTGAATTTAGAAACGACACTGACCGCTTTAATCGGGTATTCAACTCCGAACATTCTTATACTCCATAGTTAAAGACAGTTTTTCAATTAATTTTACAACCATTTCCAGGGAGGATATTCGTTAGAAATACTGCGCTAAAGATGTTGTCCAGAAGGACAACGAAAGCTTCGCAACTAAAACCAACCAGCTCAGAGAACGCTCTATTATTTCGAAATAAACAGAGTTGTTCTCCAGTTACACCAATGAGGTTGTTGTTAAGAGCCACATAGGTTTAAGTTTTGGCATCGTGAATTATGTAATTTGGTCACTACCTCTTGGGAAACTGGCTACACACGTAAAAATCGATAAACACAAATGGAATTAGTGTTATCGTGAGTTATTTAGACTAATGTGGAAACATTAGTCTGTTTTCCTTCATCATGATTTCAACTTCATGGTATTTATTGATAACTCCTGCGTAGTCGACCCCTTTATGGTAGGTAATATGATGTAGTTAGTACCTGTTTAGGCCACCAGGAAATCGTCTATAGAAAACTGAACTTGGTAGCTCGGAAATGTTAAGAATGTCATATCTTAAGTTTACACACTGTTAATTACTTGCTAACCTTGAGACTATTCAAAAGAGGCGAAGTTGTAGAAGAGGAAAAGATTAGTAGCACACTGTCTTCCAACGTGAGAAGTTACTATTTGTGACGTAGAGTCGAAGTCAGTAGTGATAATGCTGTAATTTTTTTGTTTCGTTGCCAAAGTAACGCCAGCTCTTCTAAAGGCACTCGATGAAAATGCCTCTATGTACGTATCGTATTTCAGCATTAGTTTGTGCATTCATTAAGTACCAATTGTATCTACATAGATACTGTGATACAACTTTAACACCTGTGGCAATCACAGACCGCCCTAGCTGTTTTACGTTGTTTGTGAAGAGACAAGCGATACTTGTAAACAAGCATTTTACGAGAAACATCCAAAATAGACTGGTTAACAGTTATAGAAACTAAGATAGGTCAAAACGTTGTGCAAGTTGCGTTTCTATAAATAGGTATTCTCAGTTGTGAAATAAGTACTTCGACTATCTTAGCTCATGTCACTTTAACTTGTATAGCTTCAATAAAATAAAAAACCAGAGGTGATTGAAAAAGGACTAGCTTTATTAATAATTAAGGGATTTTACAGCACAAATGCCTCCATACAGCTTTTTGTAAAGTTAACTTCTGAAAACTTCATTTCGTCGCCTTAATATATCGGCTTTTTCCCCGAAGCTCGAACTCTTTTTATTCGTCCATTTGAAATTCTTTGATAACCACTATTCACAAGAGCTTCTTTATAACTTTCTTTATTGAAACCACTACCAGGTGCACGATTGAATGTTGAATCTGCTAGAATATCCAGTTTACCGTCTGTTTCACCTATATGACACTGTGAAGATACTTCAGAACCACCTTGTGACCAAACATTTATTCCTTCTTGTCTTCGCTTGATCTTATGAGTCAGACGTCTGCAACGAACAGCCAGAATTATTGTACTTGTACTGAGAATTATGAAAACCACTCCTGAACATACTATATGGATGAGGGAATAAAATGTCAACGTTATGATAATACACATGAAATATATATTCACAAATATAAATTATTTCTATATTTATTTCCTACTCTTCAAATAAAACCATTTTTCTTCATTTAATATATTGTAGTGCATACTCCACAGTAGACAAATAAACCCACGGTTAAGATCGATAGACCGAAATGAATCAATTTAATTTTAATGCCTAATCCGCTTGCGGATGCTGCAGGCCGTTTTAACGTGACGAATGCTATTTCACGCTCTTCCTTTGTGCTGGTAACACGCACATCTTCAGACTTTGTAGTTCAATCAAACTAACCTGATTAGCCATTATCTGTACTTGCTGGATTAATAGTGTACTGATTAAGAGGGTAATCGTTCACATTCCATTTAGTTAGCAAGGCTGATGTTGTGTAGGATATCAACAATGCAACGAAATTCCTAAAATATCAGTTTACATAGTTTGTCTTAAGCGTGAACAGTGGTGAATGAATTGTTTTGCCTTAAAAGAAAGCACCCCCTGAACACGACCGTATTATTTATATAATACGTGCCTTAGCTCCTAAATTTTACTGGCAAAGAGAGAAAAAGGCCGTTCACATTCGTGAATACATAGCAAAGAGGTGAGAAAGTAACAGAACTATTTCCAGTCGACGATTAAATTCAGAAGAATAACACGATGAAGATTATGTAGTATAAATAAGGATTAAAAAAACAATAATGACGAAAACAAACAGGAAGTCCAAACGAAAAAAACGTTATTGTTTTGTCACTATGCTTTTAATTCCTATTCCCGGCGATCACAAGTGGTTTAAGTGTGTTGGTGGCTTAGCGGAACACCGCTCGTCAACCACAGATGTGGTCCGGGTTTTAGTCCCTGGGCGACGTACCTCCTTACCTCGCGAAGCCGGTGATAAACCAGTAGAGAAAGAAGTTTGGGCATGACGCCAGTAAATTCGCTCTGTAAAAATAAACACCCCTGCTACTGAAACATCAAAGTTCTAGTTTGAGGCTCTATGTTCCCCTGGGGACGTAGAGGAATTAAAAAATGTATAACACAATTTTCATCTTGTTATTCGTTATAGTTTGAAACTAGACCGCGAACAGTTCTAGAACTTTCCTCTCTCCTTTGTTATGTATTCACAAATGTACAGTCTCGTTGATGACTTCACAGAAAAGAATAATTTTTCGCTCTTACTGTCTTCCTGTTTTTCCCCATGATCTAATGTGAATATTCTGCAAGTTAAAGAGAGAACTTCATCTTTCTCGCTCGATGCATTTATACATTTAGTCTTTATGAAATATACTTACCCAGTGCAATATAGAAAACGATGTTTCTGATGCAAATATGATCTTGTTTGAATTCGGCTCTTTGCTTGAGATCACGAATCCATTTTGGTAAGGTACCATACCATTTATCACTGGCTAAATTGCATAGACGTGAATAAGAATCAAAATCGTAGTTGGCTGATGAATCACTGCCGTCAATCTCAGACTTACAAACTAGTAAGTTAGCAGGAGTTAGACAACTTTTTATAGCTGATGGTTCAGCTAAATGTAACTTTAGAATAAAAGAAAACAAAAGTTTTACTTCGTAAGCTGCTTTAATAGAAACCACTAATTTTTCAAGTACAGAAATGATGACATGCCTTACTTAAATGTTGCAAAATTTTTGGCAGTAGGATAATACAATACAATTCAACTCTGATGTTATTTAGTGGATAATGACTAACAGTACAATCCATCACGCCTACTTCGTTCTCTTCGAGACTCGTCGTCAGGATGTACCAGCAATCTCTAGTAAGTGTTGGTGACCCCAATGAGACTCGAACCTAATAATTATCGTCTCAAGCATCAAGGCGTTATATTCTGGGCCGATCTGATCATAACAGTCATCTATTTGTACAAAAGGTATTAGTTATTATGTTTTAGTTAATTTTCTATTCCTCATTGGCTGATTACATTGAGTTGACATATAAACAAAAACTGAACACTTCAGTCCATTATTATCAATCAACGGGAAATAGACATATCTTTTTCTAGGCGTCAAAAATTTCCAGCTGATCTCTGCTTATTGTAAATCCATACATTAAATGTTAGATTTTCTATGGATTATAAAGCATGGGATTATATGAATCAATATATTTTTGTTCACTAGCATGCAAGCAAACTACCCACTGATATGAATTAAGTCGACTTGTTGAGATTTGGAATTCCTGCCTACAATAAGCACACCCAATGATTAGCTATGCAACTCCCACAGCACTGATATGCGAAATAAGGTATTGTGTGAATATGCAGATCAACTATCAATCGATTGTATAGGATACCTAGTCAATTTGTTCTAGTGGTCTAAAATAAAAATTTCTTACCCATACTAACTTTGATGTATATCATATTCCTGCTAAATATGAATATATATGTTTCGTCATACCACTAGTGCGTCCGTGGCACAGCGGTTAGGATGCTCGCCGACCATGCACATGGTCCGGGGTTCGGTCCCCGGCCACAGACGCACTCCTTTACCTCGCTAAGCCAGTAGTGAGATTGGTAAAGCGGAAAAGTTAGGCATGAGGCTAGCAACCCCATCCTGTAAAAATTAATAGTTACAGAAACTTCAAGCCTCTAGTTTGGAGCCCTATATTCCACTGGGAACGTGAAGGAAAAAAATACCACCAAGTGTTTATATAGGTAAATTAAACACAAACTAACTTGAGATCCTGGAACTTTCTCCACAACTAAACACATTCTTTCACCGCTTTCTATATTAGGATAATCCATTGTAGCCTCTAAAATATCTCCGAGGTAAAAAACAACGCTGTTAGTTGAACTTCCATAACCAGAATGAAGTTCTGATATACTGCCATCGGATTGTAGTGTTTTGTAGAAATAACGCATATCATTAACTCTCGGAAGAAGACTGTTCAAACCAGAGCACATATCAGCTGCATGATTCCAACTGTGTATAGTTAAATTCCCATACCATGTGAAGTTAACTCTATTTCCATGCATTCCCACTCGTTCTATACGATAGCCTTCCGGTCGTCCATTTTTAAATAAGCTTTCGGTAGAAAACATTCGAATTAAATAGACAATAATTAGTGTTGTTTCAATGCGTTTGTACATAGTGCAAATGAAATAAACATAAGCGCCCATGATAATTTAGATGTAAATTAACAATGAGACAGTTAATAAACACAATCGATTTACCAGAAACAGACAATATAACTAGTTTCATTGGTTGAATTTATCTTAGCTACGATTATATATTCGTATGGATGATGCTAACAACCAGAATATGTAAATTAGGATGAAAAAAGGTGACAAATGAAAATCCTGATATCTGATAGGATTCTTTGTGAATAATATGCAATCTTGAACCTGAAGTCTGCTATAAAATATAACATTCTCTATAAAATGTAAGGATTTTCTTATTTTTTTATTTCGTGATCACAAGGGTCCTTGAGAGATGTGAGGAAGACCAAAAATACCCACTCGATCATCAAGACACTAGAAAACAACTCGGAGAGAGAAATTTGTCGTATGTCAGTGTAGTCATCTTCAAAGGTTGTAGAGTTCTATTCACATTCGCGAGAAACGTAAAGCAGTCTATTATTCCTATTATTGAGTAGTAGATGTTTATATGTGTAACAAGTGACATAATCGTTCAAAAAGTGATTTTCAAAGATTAAGAATTACGTAACTGCTGCTTCTTATTCACTTTATCAAATTTCAAACTCTTATTTCCATTTAATTATTTCCTATTAGTTAATTTCTAAACTTCAAAAATCACTTCTGAAAAAAATATATCATGTCACCACTCCTAATATTCATATAAATATGAGAAAACCAAAAAAAATCATGAAATGATTTAGTCCCACCGAAAACATTTTGAAGTGCAGTAACCAAAAATCTTACTTCCAAAGTGTTCATAAAGTCAAGCTGCGTGGTCTATCTGAGATATTTGAGTTTTCCAAATGGAATGCATTGAAAATGGTCAATAATGTTACAACAGAGGGAAAGTTTTTTTTTGTTCCGTCCAATTAGTACTAAGGCAGAGGATAGTCGTTCGGTTGCATTTGTCAGACTCTTATATTGCGTAACAGTAACCACAAGAAAATAGATCACTACCTCTTGTTTTCGAAACAGTATGTGTTCGATAACACCTACTGAAGTTAAAACACAGGGTAGGAGGACGAAACCTGCTCTATTCTTGCCCAATGCTTCTAAATGATTAATGTAACATTTACATCACAGCTAATACACTTAAAACACGAGCTTTACACATACCGCAACGCTTATTGAGAAGGTACACTGTTCACGGTTCAAAGGTGACATATCTAGAATTCAGACAAAGAATTACCCAAGAAATGATTATAGACATAAAAAACTGAGTAAACCTGAAGGATCGTAATAAGTTTTTCCAGAGTGAAGAGATTAGGATTCAACCTCCTTACATTAAGACTTCTTTAAAACAGAAGTATTAAGTTAGTTTGCAGTGGGTTTTCACATTTTACTTTGTCGCTGTGTACTGTTTTTATTTCTCCTTACAGATTGATTCCACACCGTAATTTTTTCGAACAGGTATCGAATTTTCAACGTGTGATATCGGTAGCCCAAATTTTGCAGGCCGACCATAGACATCACATGTGCATCGGCAGGAGATTGAACCCCGGACCATGTGCATGGTCGACGAAAGTCATAACCGCTGTGCCATCGACGCACATGAGTACTTAGTAATATTCAGAAGTACTTCGTTCCTTATTAAACTAACTAACTGTACACCATTTTTAAGCGTATATGAAGAATATGAGACGAAAAACTTATCTTGTAGAATCTTGTGTAACTCTTACAATTCGTCAATAAACCAGAATGCAGGGTGTTTTCTCAACAGAGCATATGCGACGGATAGAAAATAAAAGAAATGGTCAAACTCTTTCCTCGAGCTTCAATCTTCTGAAACATGCTTTAGAAAATCACTGAAGATCTTAAGAAGGGCAAAAAATTGTAGACCAGGAAGAAATATATCCAAATTAGCCAAACAAACACAGAGCTGCATCATTTCAAAATATCAATTAAATATAATAACAATATAAACAAATTCACTCTGAACTCAAAGAAATTTGATGATACTATTTTTCATTCCTTTTTCTTTCCAATTTCAAAGTTATTTTTATACACACTTCCTGTATTAAAACAAACAGAAAGAAAATGATAATAACTACACACATTTTATCCATGACTATATATCATCAGAAAACAGCTTGAAATCAACGCTAATTAAGTCGTTCACCCATAAGATACATGTTAAACCTGAATTATATGATGCTGTAATCAATTAAGTCACTGAATAAACAATGCACACTACTAAGCATTATGAACAGTTGGAAACATTATTGTTAAGTGGTTACAGTAGAGGCATCTAAATACCCGTTAACTGTTTCACCAGGGTCATCAGCAGTGCGTCCACGAGCTCACCTTGTAACCGAAAGGCTTTGGGTTCGAAACCTCGTGGTGGGTGAGTACTGATGAAGAGTCACATACTAGGATGAAACATCTGACCAGTAGTACTCTTAGGTTTTCCAATGGTTCTCTAACCGATGTCAGCTCATGATGAAATCCTGTAACTAATTTATCCAAACTGAATAATAAGATGGATAATTCAGCTAGGTGAACCAGTAACGCGATGAGACTTTTGTTAAGAAAATAATTATTCAAAAAGACAATGTACTTTGTATTTGTAGTGTGTTTCAGGCACTATTAACTGGTGAACAATTTGAAACTACTTATGTCAATCAGAAGTTTATATCACTGCACACACGTTAGTATTTTTTACAGCTTGTCAAACATATATATCCTACTTAAGTATTGACTACCGGTGGACGTAACGAATCTGCAAATTTTCATTGCGTACAAAAATGTTAATTAATTTGTTATTTCGAATTGTGTACGTTTACTTCTGAAGAAGACGATAATTACTTCTACATGAGAATATAAAGGTATATCAGTAACTGCCTAAAGCATTATCTACTGCAGTTGTAAATCTGTTATGGTTCAATCAGTATAACTTGAGTAGTTCTATTCAAAAATCTGATTATTATGACTGACGAGATGTTTTTTCAGTGTGAGCAAAACTTAACATCGTCCACCCAAAGCACAAAGCATATAAGGCTAAGTAAAACAAATAGTCCGAGTTAATACTAGATTGTGGGGTAAACAAACTATATTTTAATGAAAATGTAATAGACGACGGAAGATATTACCACTACACCTTATACATAATGTTTAATCCCTTCCTTGTCAACCCTTAATCTTATAACAAAGGATATAATATGACTTATTCGAAACAGTTAACACATATATGGTATATTACAGTCAAAGTAAACCAGAATGAAAGTCATAGTCCAGGAGAATTATATACAACTTTATTACTTAACTCAGATAGGTGGGAAAAAGAAAGCTCCTACTAAAGATAACTTCACACAGGTTGGACTAGTTGTTGCAAAGGTTAAAAGTACATTTAGTTTAGTCAGCAGCCGTCAAAAAGACAGAAGAGTTGTTACAATTAATATGAAGTAATAGTTGATAAAGTCTGGACATATATCTTCTTATCAAATCGTCAAAGAACGACCATTGAGATGAAGTGACATTTATCAGTAGAAAATGTTAGAATATAAGTGGCCTGATAAGCATTCTCCTAGTCCTTTTCGTGTTTAAAGCCAAAACCCATGGAAAGAATCCCTTCAGAAGCAGCATTGCCAAAACGCACATTTCAGAATTTCCAGTCCCACATACCTAGAATACTATTGATGACGATAAGAGAAAAGAAAATTTCCATAGACAATGTGATAAAATGCATATAATTGAAATATATGAGATAATTAGTAATAACAGTTTGATAAAGTATTTGCATAAAGGCGTATACTGAAATAGACAACACATTTAAGTGAGGGGGTGGGTGTCTTGCGCCGCGGGCTAGCCACCCCTCCGTACACCTCTTGAAATGCTCCCATATGACCGTGCGTCTTACATAGCCTCTCCTGAGGAAGTCCTACTCACTGCCTTCACGTGGCGGAGGTGTTTCTCACCGAAGTGAGAGGGCAAAAGCGGATGCCCGGCGCTCTTCACCGGGTTGACTGTCCATTGGATGACAGTCTAGGGGAGATGGCTAAACCCTGATTCCAAACCTCCAACGACTGGCGTATGAAGCTCACCGGAGTTCACCGACAGACGTATGGACAAAGAGCTTATTGGATGCCCTGGATGTCTGGCCCCATTCAAAAAGGCGTATGAACCGGACTCCGGTCACCGGCTGCCAATGGATAGTGGACTCCCTACTCCACTCCTACTGCCTTGTAGGTCACACTTGGTTGTGTAAAGGCTAGAGCTGCACTCTCAAACAAAAGGCCGAGCGATGCTGGGGACATCACTCGTACCCAATTCCCATGAAACTTCATCAACTCTCTTACAAACATTCGAGATGTTCATGAAGCCGGTTCATCCTCCCGTAGGAGATAGCCGAAGTAAAGTAAGTACATATAACAAGAATTACACACAAAGACAAAGCAAATAAAATTTGTTAATACCCCATTACTAACTAGGGGATTACAACTTGAATATAAAGTTATATGGAAGTCATTACTGCAGATATTGTCCACAAAGACAATGAAATTTTCGCAATCAAACCATTCACGTCATAGAACACAACAACATCGAAAAGACAAAAGCTTTCAGCATGCATACACAAAAAACAGAACACTCAATGGTTCCTGGAGTTCTCCTGAAGGAAGAATTATCATTATGATGCAACGTTCCACTGGTAATCCGTAAACATCATGTTTAACCCATAGATAAAAACAGCTAAAAAGGAACACTAAACACGTTGAGGTAAAAAAATTCAAATACAATTATTATTAGGTTTTGCTACCAGTTCTGTTTACTTGAATTTGAATTGGCATGTTTAGGCCTTCAAATTTACTATTCCACTACAAATATGTATAAAATTTGGGCAGTGGTAGTAAGTAATTCCATATTAGTTTGTTTATTAGATGTATCACAGTGAAGCAGTGTGAACACTACATACTCAACGTCACTAGTGACGATATATATTTAGTGCACCTTCCACGGCACCAAAATAAAACCCAAGGCTAAAATAA